TGATCCCCAAGCAACTAAGGGTCAGGAGCTAAATACCTAAGGGAAAAGCAGGTTTTCTGAGATCAGAGGACAGAGTGTCCAGCAGTGAAGAGGCTTGGAAAATTGAACCACGTTTCCAGGCTCCATAATGTCCAGACCTTTGAGTTGCATTTGCCTCAGTGTACAGGGAGGGGTCTGGCATTAAAACTGGCCCCAAGTCCTGGGCAGAGCCCCAGTTTCTGGTGACCTTTGTGCAGGAGTTTAGGTTGTGCCTTGCTTTGTTTTCTTGTTTGTTTCCTCATGGCAGAATGGCCTTTCCCTGGGTGGGAACTGGGGGAGGGAAGGTTGCTCTGCGCCCATCTCCACAGCTGTGTTTATCCTTCCCAGTCAGGGACCAGCCAGGGGGCCTAATCTTGTCCCCTCTAAGACTTGCAATTTGATATCTTTGTGGACTTTCCAAGGGAGGGGATAGAATGGACGGAGGGTCACCATCCGAAGGGAATTCAGATTTGGAAGGTAGGAAAAATTACTATAGAAAGCCCTTGGGGTTGGAGGCCTGGCTCTGTTGAACAAAACCATCAGGTACTGAGTTAGAGTCATGGTCTCCAACCCTTAAAAAAAAAATGCCCTGTTTGAATTCTGGGAAACATTATCTTCTTCCCGTTCCACCAGTGGTCTGAGGACCAACAAGACAAAAAAAAACAAAAAACCAAAAAACACTTAGAACTCACCCAACTCCTCCCCCCACCCCCTAAAAAACACAACAAAACAAAAAACACGTGACATGCTTCTAATCACTGGGTTGAACAAACTCTTTCTTTGTGTTGAGGGTGTGAGCAGCTTGAGCAGGAAGTCATTCCTCTAGCTTCATTGGGGCTAGAGGTCCAAGACACAGCTTGTGAAAGCCAAAACGATTATGCTAAAATATAAGCAAATTAAAAAGGATTTAAGAAAATAGTCAAGTAAATAATGCTCTTCTCCAGGGAGCAAGTTGAGCTGGTATTAATCAGTATACATGTGTTGCCAGACTCTCGGCCAAGCTGAGGAGACTAGCTGCCAAAGCAAATCAGGCATTAGGTTTCAGAAATTAAACACATAATTTTATTTTTCCGCAATAGGGGATTTTTCAGAAAAAGAACCATTCCTATTAGACTACTCCAGCACATTCTGTCCAGTTCCTGCCAGCCCCAGAGGCCTCCAATTTGAGCATCACTAAGATGGAGCAAGGAGAAGCCAAGAGTGACACAGCCATTCCTTCCTCTCATTAACTGCCTGAGGGGTGGGGTGGGAATAGTGGGACAGGGGTGGTGGACCATGATCCCACTGGAAACTGCCTTCCAACAGTTTTTCTATGAATTTATAGGACAAAGACCTGAAGGGTTGGGGAGGGGGGGTGGAAAAAGGGAGAAAGACGTAACCAAACAGAGGCTGACTGTGAGTGTAGAGAATCTGGTCTCACAAAAAAGTTTTCCCAGTAAAAGGAGGAGGAACAAGATGACAACAAACAAACAAAACCAACTTGTCCCCAAGAATCTCATATTTATTGGAGATGTAGAAAGTTTTTACAATCCTCCAGTGAACCAGGATTACTAAATGGCATTTAGTCCTATGCCAAGTATTGTAGTGCATAGGAAAGAGGTGGGACTGGAACTGAAGCATGGAGGAAAGGTCCAGGGTGCCAGGGAAGTTTAATGAGGGGGTAAGACTTGAGTTGGGTTACATAACTCAACTTCAACTTCAGCATAAACTCTTTAACTGATTTCCTTACCATCTCAAAATATGAAGTATGTCTAATTACATTTTTCTCTGTCTCTCTCTCCTTCCTATGTGTGTGTGTGTGTGTGTGTGTGTGTGTGTGTGTGTGTGTGTGTGTGCTGGTACTGGGGCTTGAACTCAGGACCTCAAGAACTTGCTCTGCTTTTTCTGTTCAAAGCTGACACTCTACAACTTGAGCCACGTCCAGCTTTTTTGGTGATTAATTGGAGATAAGAGTCTCTCGAGCTTATTGTCTGGGCTGACTGTAAACCTCAATCCTCAAATCTTCACCTCAGATAGGAGCCCAGGTTTGAGCTACTACAGCCCTGCTATACTATTTTTTTAAAAAGCTCTCTCTTGCTGGGAAGGTGGCTCAGAGGTAGAGTGCTTGCCTTGCATGTATGAGGCCCTGGGTTCGATTCCTCAGTACCACATAAGCAGAAAAAATAAAAAAGCCAGAAGTGGCGCTGTGGCTCAAGTGGTAGAGTGCTAGTCTTGAGCTGAAGAGCTGAGGGACAATGCCCAGGCCCAGAGTTCAGGCCCTATGATTGGATCCAAAAAAAAAAAGCTCTCTCTTGTTAGTTGGGCCACTCTCATAAGGCAAGTTAGCAACTTTCATGGTTTCAGTTATCATCAATATGTTGATGGTTCTCAAATCTCATACTAGTCTCTCTCCTGATATTCAGATCTTCTAATCATCTTTTCTTAGCTAACTTACATTCTTATAAGGCAATCAGACCACTACAAAAGACAGAAGGCAAGCAAACCCCTGGGTCCTTAGCTAAAAGCATGGGGTTTTTGTTCTTATTTTGTTCTCTCCATCTTCATGTTTATTCAACACCTGTAGCAGTTTAAGCACCTGAATCCTTTAGGCAAGATGCTTACTTTTTTTGCTCAAAGCCAGCATTCTACCCCTTGAGCCACAGCACCACTTCCGCCTTTTTCTGTTTATGTGGTACTGAGGAATTGAATCCAGGGCATCATACATACTAGGCATGCACTCTACTACTAAGCCACATTCCCAGCCCCCTCCCCCGCAATTTTCTTAATTCCATTTTTACATATATACATCAAGTTTTCTGACTACATTTTTCTTTTTTTTCCTTTATTTTCTGACTGCACTTTTCTACCATTCCTCTTTTCATTCAGCTATCCCCTCCTTCTTGACCTTGCCTCCACACACACCTCAAGTTCCATTTTGTTAAGACTGTAGGTTGCTCAAAGGAGTTACACCACTGGACTTTTCCCTTGTGTATACTATACTTATGTTAACACATTGTGTGTGTGTGTGTGTGTGTGTGTGTGTGTGTGTGTGTGTGTGTATGTATTCATATGACCCTTTAAATGTTTACATATATATTTATATATTCAATTTAATTTCCATATATCAGGGAAAACATGCATCCTTAGTCTCTCTGGGCCTGATTTACTTCACTTAGTATAAGTTTTTCCAGGTCCATCTATTTCCCTGCAAATGACATGACAATATATTTTGTGCCAGTCCTGAGGCTTGAACACAGAACCTGGGCACTGTACGTTAGTTTTTTCACTCAAGGCTGGCACTTTACCACTTGAGCCCATTCCTGGCTTTTGCTGGTTAATTGGAGATATGTGACTCAAGGTCTTTTCTGCCCAGACTGGCTGGCTTTGAACCTTGATTCTCAGATCTCAGCCTCCTGAGTAGCTAGAATTAGATGCTTAAGTCTGTGGTGCCAGACTCTAGACAGTTTTCTTGTCTTCCCTTCCTTTCTTTCTTTCTTCCTTCCTTTCTTTTTTTCCTTTCCTTCCTTTCATTCTTTCTTTCTCCAGTGCTTTCTCATGATTAAATTCAGCATATGCCTTTTTGAACCCTTCTCATTACATCATATTGTGGTACCTACTAAGGATATCTTCTGCTGGGCGCTGGTGGCTCATGACTGCAATCCTAGCTACTCAAGAGGCTGAGATTTGAGGATCATAGTTCAAAGCCAGCCAGGGCAAGAAAGTCCGTGAGACTCTTAATAATAAATCACAAAAACTGGAAGTGGCGCTGTGGCTCATGTGGTAGAGCACTAGCCTTGAGCTGACAAGCTGAGGGACAGCGCCCAGGCTTAAGAGTTCAAAAAAAAAAAAAAAGAGCACCAAAAAAAATATAAATCTTTCATTGCTAATGATATTAGCACCTGAAAAGTTACCCTCCCCCCTCTTTTTAGGGCTCCACCACTTGAGCACAGCACCACTTCCAGCTTTTTTGCTTATGTGATGCTGAGGAATCAAACTCAGAGCCTCATTCATGCAAGGCAAGCGCTCTACCACTGAGCCACCTTCCCAGCCCCCCCACCCTTGTAACTATATTATCTGTGGGAAGATATTTTGATTCAACTTACTTTTTTTTTTTTTCCATTTAAGTGACCGGGAGAACTATTGACAGAAATGGAGTAGTCAGGAGTAAATAAAGCAAGAATTTAGAACCCGTACATCAGTGCTTGGGGTAGTGGTAATTGTGAAGCATCGAATCAAGGGCATACGGGGCTGGGAAGGTGGCTCAGTGGTAGAGTGCTTGCCTGGCATGCATGAGGCCCTGGGTTCTATTCCTCAGCACCACATAAGCAGAAAAAGCCGGAGGCAGGCACTGTAGCTCAAGTGGTAGAGCACTAGTCTTGAGCTGAAGAGCTCAGGGACAGCAGGCCCAGAGTTCAAGCTCCACAACCACCAACAATAAGAACAATAAACAACAACAACAACAACAACAAAAACCAAGGGCATATGTGGCTTGTCTCCAGCACATGGAGATAGTGCACAGCTAGATCTTCAAGAAGTTAGCCGTGAAGCCTGGCATTGGTGGCTCAGACCTATAATCCCAGTTACTCAGGAGGCTGAGATCTGAGGATTGAGGTTTAAAGCCTGCTCAGACAGGAAAGCCTGTGGGTCTCTTATCCCCAATTAGCCAACACAAAAGGTCAAAAATGGAGCTATGGCTTAAATGCTGGAGCACTAGCCTTGAGCAAAAGCAGCTCAGGGACAGTGCCCTAGCCTTCAGTTCAAGTCCCAGGACTAGCACACACACATCAGTGACTCTAGTTCTGCACAGCCCTTCCTCTCCTCGACAGAGCCACCTAGGAAACCACTGGGCTTGGGCAGAACCACTGCAGGTCATCAAAGTCAGGATTATTGGCGCCAAATTACAGAAGTGCGAAGAAGGAAGCCCAGGTGGCCCACTAGGTCAGTGCGCACGCGCTGAAGGGGGTGCGGGGCGGGGCCACGGAACTGGGGGGCGGGGCCACTGCGCGCATGCGTCCTAACGGCCGGTCCCTGCGGCTCGGGATGGAGGGTGAGTGGGTAAACAAGCCCCGGCCGGGCGGTGGGGCTGGGCCTCAACACACCGCCGCCTGGGTCTGAGCGTGGGAGAGGCGAAGGGATCCAGGAATTGGGAGGAAGCTGAGGGAGACGTCTCAGGCCTGGCCCGGGGTGGTGGCGGTGGCGGGGAGTCTCTCCTCTCGCTCTCTGAGGGCTGTGGAGGATAGGGGGCAGCGCGGCGAGGGAGCGCTCGGAGGCGGGGGACGGCGTCTGAGGCCCGGAGGGCTGCGCGTCCCGGAGGTGCAGCCGCGGGGGCGGGCCCGGGGACCCGGAACCCCGCGGGAGGGTGGGCCGGGCCGGTGGGCGTGAGCGCGGGTGGGCGGTGGCACTTGAGGACTTGTAGGGACCTTGGACTGTGTAACGCAGAGGACCAGAGGCCAGGGCTGGGCTTGTGATGGCTTTGGGGAGAGGTTGAGGAAGCAGTGGCAGTTTTTAAAGAACAAAACAGCCGGAACTACAGCGAGGTGCACGAGGCTCTTGAGGCGCCTGGTGCTCGGCGAGTGCCTTCCCACCTGTTTGCACCCTGCGGGTCTGACTGGCCTGTTACCGGCCTCACTCCAGTTCCGGTCCTGAATAAGAAGACTCTTCTTCACCCTTCCTCTTCATCCTGGAGCCAGCTCCAATCCCTCCTCCCCCCCTACCTCCCCCCCATCCCCCCCATTCTTCAGAACATCAAATGACACAAGTGAAAGTGCCTTAAAGCAAAAGGCCAGGCCTGCCAGGAAGTAATTGTGGTTAAAAAAAAAATGTAGCCGGGCGCTGGTGGCTCACGCCTGTAATCCTAGCTACTCAGGAGGCTGAGATCTGAGGATCACGGTTCAAAGCCAGCCCGGGCAGGAAAGTCCGTTGAGACTCTTATCTCCAATTAACCACTAGGAAACTGGAAGTGGTGCTGTGGCTCAAGCCATAGAGCGCTCACCTTGAGCTGAAGAGCCGAGGGACAGCGCCCAAGCCCAGAGTTCAAGCCTCACAACTGACACACACAAAAAAAGTGACTATTAGTTGGGTGTTAGTGGCTCACCACCGGTAACATTAGCTACTTTTCAGGAAGCTGAGATCTGAGGATTGTGATTCGAAGCCAGCCCAGGCCAAAAATTAATCTGCAAAAATCTGGAAATGGAAGTATAACTCAAGTGGTAGTATGCCAGCTTTGGAGCTCAAAAGCCAACTGAGAGTAAGAAGTCTGGAGTTTTAAGCCTCAGTACTGATATCAACAACAACAAAAAAGTGACTCCGGGGAGATGAAGGGAATGGTTGAGGGTGGACTTTTTTTTTTTTTTGGTCGGTCTTGGGGCTTGAACTCAGGGCCTTGGCACTGTCCCTAATCTCTTTTGCTCCAGGCTAGTACTCTACCACTTTGAGTCCCAGCACCCCTTCCAGTTTTTGAGTGGTTAATTGGAGATGAGTCTCACTGATTTTTTTCTGCCAGGTTGGCTTTGAACTCCAATCCTCAGCTCTCAGCCTCCTGAGTAGCTAGGATTACAGGCGTGAGTCACCTGCACCAGGCACAGAGAGGGGACTTTTGATGAGGAAAGATACAGGATTGTAAATGGTACTCTTTGTGTTTTTTTGTTTTTTTTTTTTTTGGTCTGTCTGTCATGGGGCTTGAACTCAGGGCCTGCAAACTCTTTTTGCTCCAGGCTAGCACTCTACCACATTGAGCCACAGCCCCACTTCTAAATGGTACTCTTAAGTTTGGTTGGCTAAGGAAAAAACGGGAAGAGCTTAGGTACATACAAAATTGGGTGTGCAGGAAGATGGCATTCAAAGGGATTCTTTCTGTAGGTCTGTTACCACAATGCCTCTGAATAGAACAATTCCCCCATCCACTGATTTTAAGATAAAGGAAAGGTATTGAATGAATAACTTTTCAAACTTAAAAAGGTGCTATCAGAGGTTACTTTGAAAGGTTCCATTTTCTGTACCTTGGAATCTCTAATAGTGGCACTGATTAAAAAAGACTTACATAAGAGAGTGTATTAGGAGATACTTATACAAACATAAGGATCACCTATAAAATGCAGTATATTAATAATCACCCAGGTTATGATTGGTATATATATCACACTGTGAATCAACTCTCCAGAAGCACAGATATTGGTCTGTTTTATTCACTGATGAACCCCAAGCACCTAAATGCTGCTCAGTTTAGCGTCCATTTGTGGAATAGTGACAAGATTTATGGAAGTAGAAGTCAGTAGATTTGGCTCCTAATTCTGCCACGCATAGGCAGTGTACTTCTAGGTCAGTTATAGAACTTGATACTGAAGCACAGCTTTAAATTTCTGAAGTGAAAATGAACTCTTCATTTTTTATTTTTGCTGGTTCTGGGGCTTCTTTTGCTTCAGGCTAGCTCTGTCACTTGAGCCTTAGCACCACTTCTTGCTTTCTTGGTAGTTTACTGGAGATAAGAGTCTCAGAGATGTTCCTGCCAGGACTGGTTTTAAACCTGAACTTATGAGCCTTTTTATCAAATGATTTGAGGGTTTGAAGCTGTATTAGTGTTTGCCTAGCATGTGAACTGTATGCCTGGCATCCGCTCAGCACCACACATTCACTCTCTCTCTCTCCCTCTCTCTCCCTCTCTCTCTCTCTCTCTCTCTCTCTCTCTCTCACTCACTTTCACACATACTAAGTGAAAAATGATTCAATGTATTCACTTTATCTACTTCAGTTTTGGAATTTGAAGCTTGGCTTTCTTAGTCCTTTAGGTAATACTTCTGCCTTTAATTTGTTTATTTTCGTGCTGGTCCTGGAGCTTTAATTCAGGGCCTGCTTTTTCTGCTCAAGGTTATTGCTCTACCATTTGAGCCTCAGCTCTACTTACAGCATTTTGGTGGTTAATTGGAGATAAGAGTCTCAAGAGGGCTGGGAAGGTGGCTCAGTGGTAGAGTGCTTGCCTTGCACCCATGAGGCCCTGGGTTTGATTCCTTAGCACCACCTAAGCAGAAAAAGCTGGAAGTGGTACCGTGGTTCAAATGGTAGAACACCAGCCTTGAGCTGAAGAGCTGGGGGACAGCAGCCAGGCCCAGAGTTCAGGCCCCAGAACCGACCAAAAAAAAAAAAAAGTCTCAAGGATTTTCCTGATCTGGCTAGCTTCAAATTCTCATCTTCAGATCTAAGTCCCCTGAGTAGCTAGGATTGTAGCCACAGCATCTGGCTTTTAATTTGCATCTTAATCAAGAAAAATATATCTTCTGTTGTTGTTGTTGGCCATGGGCCTGAACTCTGGGCCTGGCTGCTGTCCCTCAGCTCTTGAGCACAAAGCTAGTGCTCTACCACTTGAGCCACAGCACCACTTCCGGCTTTTTCTGCTTATGTGGTGCTGAGGAATCGAACCCAGGGCCTCATGCATGCAAGGCAAGCACTCTACCAATGGCCACCTTCCCAGCCCAAATATATTATTTCCATTATGTCTTTGTGGTCTAAGATTAAGGTTTAAAAGTTTGCACTTTGGCTGCCTGCCTGTGGCTCACGCCTGTAATCCTAGCTACTCAGGAGGCTGAGATCTGAAGATTGCGGTTCAAAGCCAGCCTGGGCAGGAAAGTCCATGAGACTCTTATCTCCAATAAACCACTCAGAAAGCTGGTAGTGTCACAGTGGCTCAAGTAGTAAGAGTACTAGTCTTGAGCTGAAGAGCTGAGGGACAGCATTCAGGATGAGTTCAAGCCCCATGACCAACAACAACAACAAAAAAGTTTACACTTTGCCCAAGGTTTGCTTTGTTCATTAGCAAACTTTTTTCAGGAAAAGTTTGGTTGGCCAAAAAAAAAAAAAAAAAGCCAGGTGTTCCTGAACCACTATAATACTAGTACTCGGGGGTGAATTGCTAGAAACAATCTCAGACAAGAAAATCCATAAAACTCATCTCCAAATATCCACCAAAAAATCTGCAAGTGGAAGTGTTGTTCAAGTGTTAGAACACCAGTCTTGAGCAAAGAAAAGCTAAGGTACCAGTAATAAGAAAAACCCACCATGATTTGAACAATAGATTGAGATTGAGGAAAGGGATTAAAAAATGAACTGGTTGTAGAGCATTTGCCTAGCATGCGCAAAGCCTTGGGCTTGATCCCACCACCACCACCACCAACCAACAACAAAATATTTTCTTAGGGAATGCTTCAGTCCTGGAAAATCCCAGCTTATTTTGGTTGTTTTCTTTTGTTCATATGTTTTGGTTTCCTTCATACCTTTTTATTTTTTTTTATTTTTTATTTTTTTATTTTTATTTTTTTGGTCCGGTCATGGGGCCTGAACTCTAAATACCAAGATTTATATGTCTGTTAGATTGCTTCTCTGCTAAATCAGCATTGTATATCCCAAGAGCCAATATTTCTCTCTGGGAAAATACTAGTCTCTAAAAACATTAATACTAGTTGGACTTTTATCACCATTCCCTCCAATGCAAATGACTTAATTTTCCTGATGAACCAAGACTAAAATGTATTAACGTTATAACTTGACTTTAGTTAAAGTTCAGTTTATGTTACTAGTGTTTTTTTTTGTACATGTAATGCCCAGAAGCTAAAACTAATGCAAATAGAGAAGTGGAAGGTATCCTTATATGTTTAATAACCTTAATTGAAGGTTCTATCCAGCTGTGTTACCCCAGTTGACTCAATTTTATGTATTACTGGCTCTCTTTTCAGTAGGTTCATTCTTATCATTCACATTCTTCCTTTACTATGAATCGAAAAGGGAAAAACAAGATGAAAAAAATTTAAATCTATATTGCTATCGACCTCCCAAATCTTTTTTACCCTGCTTATTAATAGATTTAGTATTAAGGAAAAAATAATGAAGTTGTTGAACTTACTCCTAAGAAACAAGCTTTTTCTGTGAAGCCATGCCTATGTAGAGTTATAGTTGTTTTTGTCGGTTGTGAAGCTTGAACTCTGGGCCTACGTGCTTTCCCTGAGCTATTCAGTCAAGGCAAGTGCTCGCAGCCTCCGGAGTAGTTGGGATTACAGGCATGAGCCTCTGGCTCCTGGCTTTTTGTTTTCTGAGATGGGAAGGGAGTCTTACTGTGGTAGCCCAGATGGCACCAAATTAACAATCTTCTTCCTCAACCTTCTGAGTGGTTGGATTTGCCTACATCTGACTTGCCTACAGATTTTTTAATAGTAAATATCTCTAGAAAACACTAGATAGATCTGAGGATCATGGTTTAAAGCTAGCCCAGTCAGGAAAAGTTTGTGAGACTCTTATCTCCAGTTAACCACTGGAAAACTGGAATTGGCCCTGTGGCTGGAAGTATAGTAGAACGCCAGCCTTGAGTGAAAAAGGTCAGGGACAGAAAGGAGGGAGAAGAAAGAAAGAAAGAGAGAGAGAGAGAGAGAGGGAGAGAGGGAGGGAAGGTGGGAAAGAGGGAGAGAGAAACAGAGAGGGAGAAGGAAGGAAGGATTAAATTGGCCTATCATACTTATTAGTTTCTCATCAGTTTTATTCAGTAGATTAAAATTTAAATATAATAAATATAACAATTTATTACATATTTCAGTGAGTTTTTTTTCTTTTTGTCAGTCATGGGGCTTGAACTCTGAGCCTGGGCTCTGTCCCTCAGCTTTTCAGCTCAAGGCTAGCACTCTAGCACTTGAGCCATAGCTCCACTTCCAGTTTTCTGAGTGGTTTATTGGAGATCAGAGTCTCCCGGACTTTGCTGCCCAGACTGGCTTTGAACTGTGATCCTCAGATCTCAGCCTCCCGAGTAGCTAGGATTACAGGTGTGAGCCATTGGTGCCCAGCTAAGGCTAGTGCTTTACTACTTGAGCCACAGTACCACTTCTGGTTTTCTGTGTGGTTTATTGGAGATCAGAGTCTCACAGAATTTCCTGCCCAAGCTAGCTTTGAACCGCAATCCTTAGATCTCAGCCTCCTGAGTAGCTAGGATGATAGGTATGAGCCACTTACATCCAGCTTCGGTGTGTTTTTGTGAGAATATAGACTTGTACCTATCTCCACAACTAAAGCAAAGAACATTTTTTCATTGCAAGAAAGTTCCCTTACATTCCATCTAGTTCCTTACCCTCTCCAGCATCTGGTGACCACTGATCTGTTCTGTCACTAGTTTTTCCCTTTCCAGAAACATTCAAGTAGAATACCCTGTAAATGAAATCATAATTATACCATATGTAGTTTTTTGTGTTCATTTTCTTTCACTAAGCATAATTCTTTTGAGATATTTCCATCCTTTCTGTGTATATACACACAGAAATCAGGGCTTGGGCACTGTCCCTTAGCCTCTCTGTGCTCAAGGCACTCTACCACTTGAGCCACAGTGCCACATAGGCTTTTTCTGTTTATGTGGTACTGAGGAATCAAACCCAGGGCTTCATGCATGCTAGGCAAGCACTCTACCACCAAGCCACATTCCCAGTCCAGTAAGCATATGCTTAACTTAAAAAAACAAACTGGCAAACTGGTTTTCCAATATGATGTACTATTTTGCATTCCCACCATTCATTTATGAAAATTCCAGTTGTTCTATATCCCAACCAACAATTTTTTTTTGGGGGGGGGGGGGTCCGGTTGTGGGGCCTGAACTCTGGGCCTGGGCGCTGTCCCTCAGCTCTTCAGCTCAAGGCTAGCGTTCTACCACTTGAGCCACAGCGCCACTTCTGGCTTTTTTCTTTTTGCTTATGTGGTGCTGAGGAATCGAACCCAGGGCCTCGAGCATGCAAGGCAAGCGCTCTACCACTGAGCCACCTTCCCAGCCCCCAACCAACCATTTTCTATTCTAGCTATTCAAGTATCTATGTAGAGTATATTGTGGTTTTACTTTGTATTTTTCCCTAATGACTAGTGAACTTCTTTACCTTTCCTATATCTTTTTTGTTCAAATTTTTGCCCACCCTATTGAGCTATTTACTGTATTACTGTGTTACATGGAATTATGAACAAAACACTCATGGTTCAAAGCCAGCTCGGGCAGGAAAGCCCATGAGACTCTTATTGCAAATAAATTACCAGAAAAACTAAAGTGGTGCTGTGGCTTAAGTGGTAGAGCACTCACCCTGAGCTAAAACGCTCAGGGACAGTGCTCAGGCCTAGAGTTCAAGCTCCACAACCACCACCACCAACAACAACAAAAAGAACAAAATAAAAGGCTATTAGCTGGGAAGGTGGCTCAGTGGTAGAGCGCTTGCCTTGCATGCATGAGGCCCTGGGTTCAACTCCTGAGCACCACATAAGCAGAAAAAAAAAAAAGCCTGAAGTGGCGCTGTGGCTCAAGTGGTAGAGCGCTAGCCTTGAGCTGAAGAGCTGAGGGACAGCGCCCAGGCCCAGAGTTCAGGCCCACGACCGAACACCCGCCCTCCCCCCCCCCCCCAAAAAAAAAGGCTAAAGTACCTAAAGAGAATAGATATGCTGTTCTTATGTAAGTAACTGGAGGAAAATATAATAGGTATATGAAATAGTTTTATTTGCCTCCCACTTCACTGAACCTGGATGACCCATTGTTCTCTAAGTTTGCTCTAGTGAATGCTAAGTTTTTTGTTTGCTTTTTTTTTTTTAACTTTGATATGATTGATAGTTGTTGGTTAGGATTCAGTTGCTCTGATGTCTTAGAGTTGTACTTCAGGTATTTATTTTCATCATATCTATCTACCCCTTATGGTATGTTTCATCTTCTTCATATACTCTGTGGGGCTGATCAACTGCCAAATAAACTTTTAGAGACGCTGAAGACTCATTAAAAAGCCAAATGAAATAAATATTTGTTCATGGATACACAAGATTCAGATGTCACTTTCAATTGTAAAAGGAGGAAGTCTGGCTTATTTACATTGTAGCTGGTTATACAAGCTGTTGGTGGCTCACACTTGAAATCCTAGCTACTCAGAAGGCTGAGATCTGAGGATCAGGTTTTGAACCAAGCCCAGACAATAGAGTTCATGAGGCTCTTATCTAATTAACTACCAGAAGTGGAGCTGTGGCTCAAATGGTAGAGCACTAGCTTTGAGCAAAAAAGCTCAAGGATAGCACCCAGGCCCTGAGTTCAAGCCCCAGGACTGGTAACAAAAAATAAAAACAAACAAAACCTAAGGATTAGTACCTAGGTTTGGAGAGAAAGAAAGCTTCTATAATTAGGAGGAAAGAAATTCAAATCTGCTCTTTTCTTTTTCTTTTTTTTTGTTGATCTGTGGGGCCTGAACTCTGGGCCTGGGCACTGTCCCTCAGCTCTTGAGCTCAAGGCTAGCACTCTACCACTTGAGCCACAGTGCCACTGCTGGCTTTTTCTGTCTATGTGATACTGAGGAATTGAACCCAGGGCCTCATGCATGTGAGACAAGCACTCTACCACTGAGCCACCTTCCCAATCCCTGCTCATTTTGTTCTAATTCATTGTCTGTACTTGCTAGGCAGGTGCTTTACCACTTGAACCGAACCCTCAGCCTTTTATGCTTCAGTTTTTTTTTTTTTTCAGATAAGTCACAGGAGTAGGGAACATTTTAAATGTTCACATGTATTTAATGTTCGTTGAGCCTGCTGGCTAAGCCTAGAAATTGGTTCAAAAATCATTTACTAACTGACTGTGAGAATGCGTATATACATGTATCTAGAAGGATAGAATTTTATCAAGTAAAAGCTGCTTTTCAAGTGGCATCAAGTATTTTTGAGTCCTAGCTTACATGTAAAAATAGAGAAAAAGCCGGGCACCGGTGGCTCACGCCTGTAATCCTAGCTACTCAGGAGGCTGAGATCTGAGGATTACGGTTCAAAGCCAGCCCTTGCCAGAAATCCATGAGACTCTTATCGCTGATAAACCACTAGAAAACTGGAAGTGGTGCTGTGGCTCAAGCGGTAGAGAGCTCACCTTAAGCTGAAGAGCTGAGGGATAACGCCTAAGCCCAGAGTTCAAGCCCCACAACTGACAAAAAACAAAAACAAAAAAAATAGAGAAAGGATTTTAATGTCTTCTTAATTCTGGGAGAGCACTTGCTTAAGGTATCCAGGTCAAAATACTGCACCAATTTAATGAAACCACTGTTTTCTCTTTTGCAAAGCTGGACAGTTGTTTTAGCTGTGTATTTTGCCATTCCTTGAAAGAACAGAGGCACATTATAAAATTCAACAGTTCTACTTGCATTCTATGAGGTGAGTAAATACATTGCAATAAATTCTGTAAGTTTTTGAACCCTAAAAGTAGTAAGCCCCCATATATCAAGATAAGCAAATAGCTTTCATATTCCAAGATACCAAGTTCCTAGTGTGTGTGTGTGTGTGTGTGTGTGTGTGTGTGTGTGTGTGTGTGTGTGTGTGTGTGTGTGTGTGTGTGTGTGTGTGTGTGTGTGTGTGTGTGTGTGTTGCTGGAGATTGAACCCAGGGCCTTGTTTATGAGCTGCATCCCCAGCCCTCAGCTTTTTTTCTTTCGCTGGTCCTGGGGCTTGAATTCAGAACCTAGGCACTGTCTCTGAGCTGCTTTGTCCTCAAGGCTAGCTCTCTACCACTTGAGACACAGTGCCACTTCTGGATTTTTTTTTTTTTTTGGCTAGTCGTGGGGCTTGAACTCAGGGCCTAGGCACTGGTCCCTGAACTTCTTTTGCTCAAGGGTAGCATTCTACTACTTGAGTTACAGTGCCACTTGTAGGTTTTTCTGTTTATGTGATGCTAAGGAATCAAACCCAGGACTTAATGCATGCTAGGCAAGCACTTTTTTTTTTTTTTTTGTCATGGGGGCTTGAACCCTGGGCCTGGGCGCTGTCCCTCAGCTCTTCACCTCAAGGCTAGTGCTCTACCACTTGAGCCACAGTGCCACTTCCGTTTTTCTGGTAATTTATTGGAGATGAGTCCCAAGGACTTTCCTGCATATGTTGGCTTTGAACTATGATCCTCAGATCTCAGCCTCCTGAGTAGCTAGGATTACAGGCGTGAGTCAACAGTGTCCAGCTAGGCAAGCATTCTTACCACTAAGTCACATTCCCAGCCCAACTTCTGGATTTTTCTGAGTAATTTATTGGCGATAAAGTCTCATGGGCTTTCCTGCCCTGGCTGGCTATGAACCACGATCTTCAGATCTCAGCCTCTGAGTAGCTAGGATTACAGGTGTGAGCTACCACCACTGACACCTGGCTTCTTCAGCTTTTTTGAGACAGGGTCTTGCTGTATAGGCCAGGCTGGCACCAAAGTCATAATTCTTCCATCTTTACTTCCCAAGTGCTGAAATTATAGATGTGTACCACTAAGCCCAGCCAAAAATCTGTTTTTATTTAAAACTTATTATTCATATATTTGGGTTCTTAAGACATGTTTGTTTGTTTTTTTGGTCCGATCGTGGGGCCTGAACTCTGGGCCTGGGCGCTGTCCCTCAGCTCTTCACCTCAAGGCTACACTCTACCACTTGAGCCACAGCGCCACTTCCGGCTTTTTTCTTTTTGCTTATGTGGTGCTGAGGAATCGAATCCAAGGCCTCAGGCATGCAAGGCAAGCGCTCTACCACTGAGCCACCTTCCCAGCCTCAAGATATGTGTTTTTATGGATAAATTTAATAAGAATGAAAGGATTTCTGGGTGCTGGTGGCTCATGTCTATAATCCTACCTACTTAGGAGGCTAAAATCACAGAATTGGAGTTCAAAGCCAGGCTGGACAAGAAAGTTTGTGAGACTCTTACCTCCAATAACAACCAAAAAGCCAGAAATGGAGCTATAGCTCAAGTGGTAGAGTGCTAGCCTTGAGCAAAAGAAGCTCAGGGACACTACCTGGGCCCTAAGCTCAAGTCCCAGGACTGGCGTGTGTGCACGGGTGCACATGCAAACACACACACAAAAGAATGAAGGTATAATTACCATATTTGTTTGAATTTGAGGAATGCTTACATTCCAGGTAATGAAATACTATGTCTCATCTCTGTTCTTAGAGTACAACAAAATGGATATACCAAATCCCCCAACTTCGAAATGCATCACTTATTGGAAGAGAAAAGTGAAATCTGAATATATGAGACTCCGACAGCTCAAACGGCTTCAGGCTAATATGGGTGCAAAGGTAAAAATAGTTTCCAAGCTGGGTGCTGGTGGCTCATGCTCAAGATTAGGGTTTTAAGCCACCTGGGGCAGGAAAGTCCCTGAGGCTTTTTTTTTTTTTTTGGTCAGTTGTGGGGCTTGAACTCTGGGCTTGGGTGCTATCTCTGTGCTCTTCAGCTCAAAACCAGCGCTCTACCACTTGAGCTACAGCACCACTTCCGGTTTTCTAGTGGTTTATTGGAGATAGGAGTCTCATGGACTTTCCTGATCGGTCTGGCTTTGAACCGTGATCCTAAGATTTCAGCCTCCTGAGTAGCTAGGATTATAGGCGTGAGCCAGCGGCATCCAGCTTTCCTGAGACTCTTTTTTTTTGTTTTTGTTTTTGTTTTTTTTTTTGGGTCCAGTCATGGGGCCTGACTCTGGGCTTGGGTGCTGTCCCTCAGCTCTGCAGCTCAAGGCTAGCGCTCTACCACTTGAGCCATAGCACCACTTCCGGCTTTTGTCTTTTTGCTTATGTGGTGCTGAGGAATCGAATCCAGGGCCTCATGCATGCAAGGCAAGCGCTATACCACTGAGCCACCTTCCCAGTCCCTTCCTGAGAATCTTATCTCCAATTAAACACCAAAACTGGAAGTGGAACTGTGTTTCAAGTGGGAGAGCACTAGTCTTGAGCACAAATGCTTAGAGATAGTGTCCAAGCTCCGAGTTCAAGTACCAGGACCAGCACACACAAAAAGTTCCCAACTGAACTGTTATTTCTGGACATTTACCCATATGGGGGTTGGATTTTTTTAAACTCATCTTTAAGTCCTAGCAGTCTTTTTCTTGGCTTTCCTAGGCTCTGTATGTGGCAAATTTTGCAAAGGTCCAAGAAAAAACTCAGATTCTTAATGAAGAATGGAAGAAACTCCGTGTTCAGCCTGTTCAGTCTATGAAGCCTGTGAGTGGGCATCCTTTTCTCAAAAAGGTACTTCGGGTTGTCTAAGTCAACCTTCCTCTGTTTCTTGAACCTGATGTGATTTTTCTTTTGAGTATGTGTGCATGTGTGTGTGTGTGTCCTGTGGTTATGATCTGTTAAAATAAAAATAAATGCTGAGCATTGGTGTCTCTTGCCTATAATTCTAGCTATTTAGGAGGCTAAGATCTGAGGATCATGGTTTGAAGCCAGCTCAGGCAGAAAAATCTGTCAGACTCAACTCCAGTTAACCCTCAGAAAGCCAGAAGTAAAGGTTTGGCTCAAGTGCTAGAGTGCCAGCTTTAAGAAGAAAAAAGCAAGTGAGAGCGTTAGGCCCTGAGTTTATGCCCCAGTACAGGTCTGTATGTACACACATACACAAAGTATAATGGATACAGTTATTATAGTAAACTTTAATAATTAGGATAATTTATAGATTATAAAATGACCTTTTGCTGGGTGACAGTGCCTTATTCCTATAAAATCCTTGATCTGAGGATCATAGCCTTGAGCAAAAACAGCTCAGAGACAGCTCCCACACTGTGAGTTCAAGCCACAGGACTAGCACTATCACCAACAAAAAATAATCTTTTCAGAGCTAGGCACAGTGGCACATACCTACAATTCCAGCTGAGGCAAGGGGCTCATCTGTTCTAGGCCAGCCTGTGCTAAATGTTAGATCTTGTCTCAGAAAACAAGACAAAAGAATAAGGTTTTTTTCTGTGTATGTGTGTGTTTTTGTTTTACCTATTTCTACTCAATTAAGTATAATCGTGACTTTCATAGAAGAATAAGACATTTACTGTTTACTTTCTAAGTTCCAAAGTACCTTGTTTTGTGCCTGGTTTGGTATCTAAAGTCCTTTGAGCTGGGGCACTGGTGGTTCATGCCTCTAATCTTAGCTACTCAGGTGGCTAAGATCTGAAGATTGAGGTTTGGAACCAGCCTAGGCAAGGAACTCCTAGACACTCCTTTCTCCAGTTAACCATCAAAAAGTAGTAAGTGTTATCGCTTCTCGGCCTTTTGGCTAAGATCAGGTATAAAAAGTAATAAGTGGAGGTGTGGCTCAAGTAATACAAGCACCAACCATGATTGAAAAAGCTGAATTAGAGTTAGGGGCCCTGAGTTCAAGCCCAGTAACTGGCAAAAAGAAAAAGCACTTTGACATTCAGATAGTATTGCCCTGGTGGTTGTCAGAGAGACTTTTTTTTTTTGGGGGGGGCCGGTCATGGGCCTGAACTCTGGGCCTGGGTGCTGTCCCTCAGCTCTTCAGCTCAAGGCTAATGCTCTACCACTTGAGCCACAGTGCCACTTCCGGCTTTTTTTTTTTCCCGGCTTATGTGGTGCTGAGGAATTGAACCCAGGACCTAATGCATGCAAGGCAAGTGCTCTAGCACTGAGCCACCTTCCCAGCCCAAGAGAGAGAGACTATTTGTATTGTAAATTAATTTATCTATTGAATTGTAAATTTTAAAATAGAATTCCAGTTTATTAGGAAATAAATTTAAAAATTTAATTTAAAAAAAAAAGCAGTGTAATGAGAGCATTTTCCTTTCTCACAACAAGCTAAAACCATGAAATCATGTTTTTTGGTTTTTGTCAATTGGGGGGCTTGAACTCTGAGCCTAGGTGCTATCCTTCAGCTCTTCAACTTAAGGCTAGTGCTCTACCAGTTGAGCCAACACTCCACTTCCTGCCTTTTCTGCTTAGGTGGTGCTAAGGAATCGAACCCAGGGCTTCATGCATGTGAGGCAAGCACTCTACCACTGAGCCACCTTCCCAGCCCTAACCATGGTTTCTTTACCACTTTACTTGCCCACATGTGGTCCCCATCACCTACTGATATATGTAGCTCAATTGAAGTCTACTGTCTTAAAGTTTTAGTCTTCAGGAAACTTCCTCATCTTCATCCCAGACTCTAGGACTTTAAGAGATCTTCTACTGTTGTGTTATACCCCAAGGAGACCAACAGTTTGTTGAAGTAAGCATCAGTTGAGTCTGACAAGGACTGTTCTGTTCTAGCCTCTAGAGGATACAACAATATATAGGAAGAGATACTTCTTCTTGCTTTAAAAAGGTTTACAGATGGCTGGGAAGGTGGCTCAGTGGTAAAGCGCTTTCCTTGCATGTCCAAGGACCTAGGTTCGATTCCCCAGCACCACATAAGCAAAAAGAAAAAAGCCGGAAGTGGCACTATGGCACAAGTGGTAGAGTGCTAGCCTTGAGGTGAAGAGCTGAGGGACAGCCCCCAGGCCCAGAGTTCAGGCCCTACGACCGAACCCCCCCCCCCAAAAAAAAAAACAAAAACGTTTACAGATTGGGAATGCCTCTAATGAGCGGATTTATTATTAAGTAGTTGCACAAAGAGATTACAATTACAGTCAGGTAATAAGTAAAATGCTGCTTTTTTTTTTTGGTCGGTCAGGGGCTTGAACTCTGGGCCTGGGTGCTGTCCCTCAGTTCTTCAGCTCAAGGCATGCACTCTACCACTTAAGCCACAATGCCACTTCTGGTTTTCTGGTGATTTATTAGAGATAAGAGTCTCGGGGCTGGGAAGGTGGCTCAGTGGTAGAGCACTTGCCTTGCATGCTCGAGGCCCTGGGTTCGATTCCTCAGCACCACATAAGAAAAAAGCCGGAAGTGGCGCTGTGGCTCAAGTGGTAGAGCGCTAGCCTTGAGCTGAAGAGCTGAGGGATAGTGCCCAGGCCCAGAGTTCAGGCCCCACGACTGGACCCAAAAAAAAAAAAAGAGTCTCAAGGCCTTTCCTGCCTAGGCTGGCTTTGAACCACAATTCTCAGATCTCAGCCTCCTGAGTGGCTAGGATTACAGGCCCTGAGCCACCGGCGCCCAGCTTTACAATGCTTCTTGATCAGTGTCACCCCTTCTATCATTCTGCCTCACCCCTGCCCCCCATCTCCAATCCCTACCCTCAAATGAAATGATGCTTTAAAAAACAACCCCCAGTTTAATTTGTAGAACACAGAGATCTTTATTTTTCTTTTTGTGCTTGTCCTGGGGCTTAAACTCAGGACCTAGGTGCTGTCTCTATTCTTTATTTTTGTTCAAGGCCAGTGTTCTACCACATGAGCCACAGCTCCATTTCTGGCTTTTCCTGCCCTTCCTGGCTTTGAACCATAATCCTCAGATCTCAGCCTCCTGAGTAGCTAGAATTATAGGTATGAGCCACTGGTGCTTGCTTATGAGAATCTTTTTTGTAAGAAATCTTCAATTTTCTCCTGGATTGTGTTTGCCTTTTTCTCTCTATGTCATTGCTTGCATTTCAGTGTACCATAGAGAGTGGTTTCCCAGGATTTTCAAGCCAGCATATGTTGATGAGATCTCTGAATACTGTAGCGTTGGTTCCCATCATGTATTCCTGGTCCCCTCTCCAGCAGAACTTTATGGTATGTATTGAAAACACTGGTAGTTGTTTAAACTATGCATTTGTCTTGTGTTGATTGTTGAAGCTCCTTTTAGAGTAGAAATTGTCAGAAAATTTAACAAAGCTTGGACATATAGGGAAAGACAGTGTAATTTAATTACTTTAAAATACGCATTTTAATTTAGTTTTGGTGCTCTTTAAAATGTCCTTCTGAATTGGTATTAGTTCTTTCCTTTTGAATGACACTAATCAAGACTCCACTTTCTCAATACTTTGTCCCATCTTTGAAACATTATTTACTATTTGTAACATTCTTTGTAACAGTAAATACTTCTAAGACACTTATAATCAAGTTGAGGACTCATTGCTAATGGAAACATTCTTTCTGAATCTTTGAAGGGCAAGACTCTATGAAGGCAACCAAGATAACAGTAGTGCCCATGGACGCTGTCCTTCATTTGGGCCTTTATGCTGAGTCCTACTAGGACTATTTATTGTTTGGAAGTCAGTCCTTTCAGAATGAGGCAATTGTTCATTATGTGCCTGGTGATCCATAGAAACACTGCTGATTGGGAATAGGATATAGGATATAGGTCTACAGATATGAGCCATCTCTTAGAGTAAAACTACAGAGTAATTTTCCTTGATTCTTAAATTTGAGAATTTAAGAATTGCCACGTTATTCTATATTCAGGAAGCTGATTCTGAGGATTTCTGCCAAACTGAAATCACAGACGGAGATTCTTTTTTTTGGGTCTGGTTGTGGGGCCTGAACTCTGGGCCTGGGTGCTGTTCCTCAGCTCTTCAGCTCAAAGCTAGCACTCTACCACTTGAGCCACAGCGCCACTTCCGGCTTTTTTTTTTTCTTTGTGCTTATGTGGTGCTGAGGAATCAAACCCAGGGCCTCAGGCATGCAAGGCAAGCGCTCTACCACTGAGCCACCTTCCCAGCCCACAGACAGAGATTCTTATCTCCAATTGATCTACAAAAAGCTAGAGGTGGAGGTGTGTTTCAAGTGATAAAGACCTAGCCCAGAAGGAGCAAGAACTGAACAAGATCAAGAAATCATGGGTTGGGTGCTGGTGGCTCACTCCTGTAATCCTAGCTACTCAGGAGGATGAGATCTGAGGATCACAGTTCAAAGCCAGTCCAGGCAGGGAAAGTCTGTGAGCCTCTTATCTTCAATTAACTGCCAGAAAACCGGAAGTGGTGCTGTGGCTCAAATGGTAGAGCACACGCCTTGAGCTGAAGAGCTGAGGGACAGCACCCAGGCCCAGAGTTCAAGCCCCATATCCTACGGAAAAAAAACAAACCTTGAGTTCAAGCCCCAGCACTGGTGCACACAAAAAATAAAGATGACTGTGTTGGGACTGGGATTGTAGCTTATTGGTAGTCTATATGCTCAGTATACACCAGGCCCTTGGTTCAGTCCCCATCATTGGGGATGTCTTTGTTCTGTGCTCAGCACCTCCCCCTTGGTTTTTAGTATTATTTATTACCCACAAATACATAACCAATGGTGATTGAGTTTAGGTTCTCACTGAGTGTGATTAGTGTGAATTGTAAACCATAATTTTCTATTATTGGATACTCGATATATTTCTTAAACTACTCCCAATTTTAAGGTTGCTTAGTTCATTTTCTAGTTCTGTTACAAATTATATCCTTGGAGGCCTTCCTGTTCATTTGTTTGTACTATAAAAACAATTCAAATTTTAGACTTTTTTGACTGCTGTTTAGGTAATATTCATGCATATCTTGTATCTATGGTGGTAAGGTTTGATAGATGGAAGTACTGTGAAAAATAAATGCATTCTCAGATTCTAGGTGTTGATGGAAATGTTAGTATCAAGCTAAATATTTTACACTAATATCAATAAAACTGACTTTACCCTGCTAAGGATAACATTTATTGGCAAAACAAAATGGCCAGTGTAAAATATTAGAAGCTCGCTGACCCAAAGAGGTTTCAGGAGACTCAGAAGCAAAGAAAACAAACAAAATTTCATTACAGATTCGAGAAAGATTCCACTAAATAAGAAAAAGGAAATGCACAGTGGCTGATGGAATGAATCACATCTGGTTTAATTGTAGGTAGAAGATGAGACTGTTTTATGCAATATTCCTTACATGGGAGATGAGGTGAAAGAAGAAGATGAAACTTTCATTGAAGAGCTGATCAATAACTATGATGGGAAAGTCCATGGTGAAGAAGGTAGTAGTGTTTGGTTCTTTGGGAGAAAACTTTTTTAGAAAAATGCCTTCCCTTGGGTACATCATTAATCATCATTCCCATGAGGATACATATTGAAGAATAATTCAATGTCATTGCATGATTGGCAGTTAAAATCTTGTATTAAAAATACCTGGTTAGGGCTGGAAATGTGGTTTAGTGGTAGAGTGCTTGCTTAGCATGCATGAAGCCCTGGGTTCGATTCCTCAGTACCACATAAACAGAAAAAGCTGGAAGAGGCACTGGCTCAAGCAGTAGAAAACTGGCCTTGAGAAGAAAAAAAAAAAGCTAAGGGACAGTGACTAGGCCCTGAGTTCAAGCCCAAGTGCTGGCAAAGAAACAAAAAAACAAAACAAAAAAAACCCTGATTAAGCCAGGGCACTGGTGGCTTACACCTAGCTACTCAGGGAACTTAAGATCTGAGGATTGCAGTTCAAACCCAGCTTGTGCAGAAAAATCCGTGAGACTCTCATCTCCAATTAACCATCATAAAACTGGCAGTGGCACTATAGATCAAAGTGATAGAGTGCTAGCCTTGAGTGAAAAAGCTCAGGGACAGCACCCAGGCCCTGAGTTCAAGCCCCACAAACCAACTTCGCCCCCCCCCCCCCACACACAAAAAAAAACCTGGTTAAATTTTAAAATTATACAAAGAGATGATTAGTAATCAACTAGTTTAATCTTAGGAACTTTACAAGCCAGGCCTCAGTAGCTCACACCTGTAATCCTAACTGCTTATGAGGCTGAGTTCTAAGAATCACAACTCGAAGCTAGCCAGTGTAGACAAATCTAAGAGACTCATCTCCAATTAACCAGCAAAAAGCTTGAAGTGAACCTGTGGCTCAAGTGGTAGATTCCATAACTATGATTGGTGCCAGTGGCTCACACTTGTAATCCTAGCTACTCAGGAGCCTGAGATCTGAAGGTTGTGCTTTGAAACCAATCTGGGCAGGAAAGTCCATGAGATGAGGCTCTTGCCTCCAATTAGCCCCCAAAAAATCCGAAGTGGAGCTGTGGCTCAAGTGCTAAATAGCACCATCCTGGAGCAAAAAACTAGACATTACCCAGGCCTTGACTTCAAACCCAAGTATCAGTACAGGAGGGGGAAGGTGGGGAAGGGGAAGAGGGGAAGAGAGAAATTTTTCCTAAGTTCATCTAAGGCCATTTTGTTCTTTGTTTCTCTTTGAGAATATAGGTCAGCATCACCTCTCTGTTATATTTCTTTGATCCAAGTATCTTCTGGGTCTCTCAGAAGTTGGCTTAAAATAGCTATATTTCCTAAAAGCCTATCATTTAGACTTTGCTGTAATTCTAGAAAAGGTCAGGAAATAAGAAGTAGATAGAGATTCTCCATGGATTTGCAAGCTGATAGCCTTGCCTACTCTTGACAATTGTGGGTGCTTTTGTGACAGTACTCAAATTCACTGTTTGTCTATACCACCCCCTAGTGTTCATTCAGAGACATTCTCCCAAGTTATATAACCGCAATAAGGTAGGATTTCAGGAAAAAATGGTTTTCAATTTAAAGAAGTCACTATCAGAAGCAAAACAAATATATTTTCATTCTTCTTTCTCTTCCCAATTTGTGATTATTGGTACACTTCTTTGAGATTTGAACTGTAAATGCAAAGTTGACATGACTAAGGAAATGAAGTTTCCCAATAAGAATAAAGTCTATAAATGGGTTTTTCTACTCAACCACCTGAACTATGCATTGTAAAAGCCAATAAAATTATCATAATTCTCTTATTTTACATATGAAAACACACATTCCTTATTAGGGCCTCAGAACTGAGTACAAGAAAGCCTGTCTGGTAGGACTAAAGGAGTGTGAAGTGGCCACTGCTTACCTTCCTAATCCTCATGTTTCAGAGATGATTCCTGGATCTGTCCTGATAAGTGATGCTGTTTTCCTGGAATTGGTAGATGCTCTGAATCAACACTCAGATGAAGAGGAGGAAGGGCACAATGACACCACTGATGGAAAACAGGATGATAGCAAAGAAGATCTTCCATTAACAAGAAAGAGAAAACGACATTCTATTGAAGGTACATAGCTATTTTGAAACTGACAGGGCTAGAGAAGAAGGGAAAATTAGAAATGTGTATTGTTGATCTACTTAAAATGAAAATATGATCATTAACTGGTAGTTTATATTGCCTGTGATCTAAGTGGAAAATACAGTAGAACTTAAAGAATAATCAGTTGTGAGTAATGTTAAAAAAAAAACAACCTAACAACCTGGAAAGTTGTCAAAAGACAATAAAATTACTCTAAAATCCTGATACATAGAGCAGCCAGATTAATACTTCTAGACTTTTAAAATATAGATATGTATATCAATGTGTTTATATGTTCTGTGTAATTGAATTTGTATTATATGTGCATAAAATTTTATCTCAAATCTTACGAACATTTTTCCTTGCCATTAATATTTAGTGAATTTAATATTTATTTTCTTAGTTATAATATATATTATTTAATTATATGTCCAGAGGCATATAAAATAGTTGCAGTTATTATAAAATAGTTGCAGTATCAGTCTTGTTCTTCAGCATAGCATTATGATAGAATTTTTCTATATGTAGATCTCTGTGAAAACACTTCCTCATACCCAGTGTCTATCAGGGATTGTGAATTTTGTTATCAACATATAGTCAGTGTTTAACAAAGCAGTTCTAATCAAAATGCTGTGACAAAGGGAAAAGAGATCAATTAATTTACTCAGGAGTTTATTGTCATTTTCAATATAGGCAACAAAAAAAGTTCCAAGAAACAGTTCCCAAATGACATGATCTTCAGTGCCATTGCCTCCATGTTCCCTGAAAATGGTGTCCCAGATGACATGAAGGAGAGGTAGGGACCACTCAGGCCTTACTTACACAGAGTATTTGGACAAAACTTTTATTCAAGCTGTTCTTTGTTGTTAATAACAATCCCTGTTAATGGTAAGTTTCATTATGATTTTGCTTGTACTTCTGATCATTTGTTGCTTTCATACCTCTAAATGCCCCTTGACATGTTAAGGGCCATTCATAATGTGCTGGTTTTTGAGTAAATCTGTACAGAAAACTTTTACTCTGCCATTCTTTGGGGAACTTATTACAGCATGAGTAATCTTTCCCTCCCTTTACTTTCAGACATATACTCACCCCGCATAATTAATTACAAGGGCGTAGCTATTTAGTTATATACATTCCCTCATCCATCAAGCACATGAAAAATACTCATAATCCCTTGGCAGGATGTGCTTGGATGACTGTCAATACCCAATCTTCATTTTCACAGTGGAGACGTTCCCTTGAAGAAACTCTTCTCTTTCTTTTCTTAAATAGGTATCGAGAACTAACAGAAATGTCAGATCCCAATGCACTTCCCCCTCAGTGCACACCCAACATCGATGGCCCCAATGCCAAGTCTGTGCAACGGGAGCAGTCTCTGCACTCCTTCCACACACTCTTTTGCCGACGCTGCTTTAAATACGACTGTTTCCTTCACCGTGAGTGGGGCTACATTTGACATTCTCTCCTCTTTTTCAACCACAAGCACTATTCCCTTGTTCTGATTTGTCCTATGGAGTTCCCAGCCTCTGCTCTCATGGGCCACCAGTTCTAGGGCTGGAGGTGTGGCGTTAATGAGAGTACCTGCCCAGCAAGCATGAAGCCCTGAGTTTAAACCCCAAAAGAAAGAAAAGTCCAGGCACTGGTGACTCATGCCTATAATCCTATAATCCTATAATCCTACTCAGGAGGCTGAGATCTTAGGGTCACAGTCTGAAGCCATCCAGAGCAGAAAATTCCATGAGACTCTTATCTCCATTATAGTACTCAGAAAAAGCTGGAAGTGGTTCTGTGAGAAGCTCAGGTAATAGTGTCCAGGCCCTGAGTTCAAGCCCCAGTGGTGGCAAAAAAAAAAAAGGAAAGAAAAGATTGTCTTGATATCAGTTATGTACTGTGATGGTACACAGTTGTTTATATCAAATCCTATCCTAATTCATACAATAGCTTGCTAACTCAGTTTTATTCTTCCCTACTTTTTCAAGTAGATAGACCATTGGAAATGCCACAATTTTTGTTTTGCAGCCTTTCATGCCACCCCTAATGTGTATAAACGCAAGAACAAAGAAATCAAGATTGAACCAGAACCCTGTGGCACAGACTGCTTCCTTTTGCTGGTAGGTTCTTAAGCTATTCTAGCATTATTAACTGTTATTAATTGATCAAGAACTATTCCTTGGACTTTCTGGTTCTGGAAGCACAAGCTAAGTGAGCCATACACAGCACTCCAGGGGTCAAATAGCCCAAATGAAACATGCCTTCTGCTCCCCAGACACAGTAACACGGAGAAGATAGTCTAATGGAGTGATGTTTGAAGAACAGTAAAAGATTTTTTGCTTTAAATATTACCTACTTAGATTTTAAAGTCTGAGATTGTATTGTTAGATTTGAAACAAAGATGGCTGAGGGCACAGGTCAATGGTAGAACCCTTGTCTAACATATTTATTTATTTATTTATTTATTTTAAATTTAATTTAATTTTATTTGTGAACATACTGTACAGAGGAGTTACAGTTACATGGGCAGGATAATGCGTACATTTCTTACCAAGCATTGCAGCCTCCTCCTTTGTTTATCCTTCACATCCCTTCCCAGCCTCCCCCCTCCCCCCCTAATCCCAATCCTTCTCCTTCCCCCCCGCCCCTTGTCTAACATATTTAAAGCCATAGGTTTGATCATAATATCACCAAAAAGAGGTGAAGGAGATGTTTCCAAAGTATGTTCCATCTCCTTTGCTGTCTTCCTTTAAATACATATAATGAACACAATCATAGGAAGAGTCAGTGATATCTTATTGCAACCAACCTGATGGCCCCTCCCTGATGGACAGATCTTATGTGCCTGAATAAACTGCCCTGCATATATGGAGGAGGCAGTACATTGAGAGCTGTGGAATAAGTTCTTTGTGTTAACTGAATTCAGGTCTGGCTGTTTAACCAAAAAGCAGTATGGTAGCCTTTTATCAGTGGCTCACACCTGTAATCCCTAGCTACTCAGGAGGCTGAAATTTGAGGACCATAGTTCAAAGCCAGCTTGAGGAGAAAAGTCTGTGAGACTCTTATCTCTGATTACCACCAAAAAGCCAGAAGTGAAGCTGTGGCTAAAGTAGTAGAGGGCTAGCTTTGAGCAAAAAGCTCAGGGATAGCACCCAGACCCTGAGTTCAAGTCCCAGGACTAAAAAAAAAATGCTTAAGAGGTAAGCATTTGTGGGAAGGATAGCAGTTTTATTCAACAGCCAGTATCTTTAAAAGATGAATAATGGGGAATACTTCTTCAGAGCCCCATCTCAGGGAACTCAGGAATACAAGAGGCCTTTCTAGGAAGGGAAAGAAGGAACAGGAGACAGTGAACAGGAAAGCTACATGATGGTAGGGTCTTCATCATCCAGGGCATGGTATCTTTTTGTTTGTTCTTCTGGCTGGCCCAGCTCAATGATCTTCAATCTCATGGGGCTAGTTCCTGTAGTTCTATAGACTTATTATTCTTGTGTAGGTTAAACCTCACAGCAATTTCCATGCTTTGTGTCAGGTGTTGGCAGAACTAAAAAATAAGCAGGAGTGTCACACATCCTGTTGTTATCATCTAGAGGTCACCAGATGTTCTGGGTTCTGAAAATCTAAAGGAAAATTATTTAGAAGTTAGCATCTTAATCATTTTGTTGCAAGTTCTCTTTAGAATTTAGAATACTGAGCCAAGGTATAGAAACTAAAAGTAGAGAGGGAGAGGGATCAACAGAGGAAAAATTGGGAGAAAATTAGGGAGGGGGGTAACTGTTCAATAAGAAATGTATTCATTACCAAACTAATATAATTGTAACCCCTTTGTACATCACCTTTACAATAAAATTTAAAAAAGAAAGAGAGAGGGGCTGGGAAGGTGGCTCAGTGGTAGAGTGCTTGCCTCACATGCATGAAGCCCTGGGTTCAATTTCTCAGCACCACATAAGCAGAAGGAGCTAGAAGGGGTGCTGTGGCTCAAGTGGTAGAGCGCTAGCCTTGAGCTGAAGAGCTGAAGGACAGTGCCCAGGCCCTGAGTTCAGGCCCCACAACCGACCAAAAAAAAAAGAAAGAAACTAAAGATAACTGCTAGGGACATCTTCCAGAGGAGAAATTGAGTTACAGTTGGACTTGCCAAGGATACTGTTTGGCTTTTTTTTTTTTTTGGGTCCAGTCGTGGGGCCTGAACTCTGGGCCTGGGCGCTGTCCCTCAGCTCTTCAGCTCAAGGCTAGCACTCTACCACTTGAGCCACAGCGCCACTTCCCGCTTTTTCCTTATGTGGTGCTGAGGAATCGAACCCAGGGTCTCAGGCATGCAAGGCAAGTGCTCTACCACTGAGCCACTTTCCCAGCCCCCTGTTTGGCTTTTTGTAAAATAAGTTGAGTTTAGGTAAAGAATAAAATGCCCTAATAAAAATTTTTTTCTGGGCTGAGAATGTGGCCTAGTGGTAGAGTCCTTGCCTAACTCTGGGTTTGATTCCCCAGTTCCACATAAACAATAAAAAGCAGGAAGTGGCACTGTGGCTCAAGTGGTAGAGTGCTAGCCTTGAGCAAAAGAAGCTCAGGGACAGAGCCCAGGCCCTGAGTTCAAGCCCCTGAACTGGCAAAAAAATAAAATAAATAAATTCCATGTGTATGAAAGAGCTGAAACCATGACTCATTAGTAGAGCATCTAGTTAGCAAGTGCAAGACCCTGAGTTCTAATCCTAGTACTGCCAAAAAAAGAAAAAGGATGGAGCAGTATCTGTACTTGGTTGTTTTGGTGAATACATAGTTGTAGGCACTTGTCCAAACTCAGATCCCTAAAAATGATAAAATTTATTGTATGTACATTCTACCATAATTTGTTAAAAAGAAAAAGTATTTACTCAACACAATAGTAAAAATCAGTAAGTTAATCAATTTAAAAAAATTAGATTTTACAGCCAGTTATCTTTGGGGGTAGCTTTAGTTAGGATAACAAAAGGAAAGATATAGGAAGTGGTATTTGGTTCACATCTGGAAGTGGGCCATAAGGTAGCAAGAAAATAAATATAATATGTCAGCTTTATCCAATTTGTTTTTTTTTTCCCTGAGATGTACTTAATTCTTCCTATGTGTCAGGTACCATTCTAGGCCCTTAAGGTACATTGTCTTATTTTCACTCTTGTAAAAATATGGTGGAAAAGGTTACGGGTTATAGAATTTATATATTTTCCCCAGAGTTTATTAAAAAGTTAGTGATGTGGCAATGATGAGATTCAAGCCCCAGTCTAACTCTATGCTTTTTAAATTATCCTATCCTTTTTATTACTCTGTTACACCAATGTTCTAGCAGTTATGTCACTCAAAGGAGCATTATCCTTCTCACAAGCCTTACCCTGGAGCTCTGTACATGTATTACAAAGCTCCTGGCAGTGCCCAGAGTGTGTTAACTTACAGAGATTAATGTGCACAGCTTTTTAAAAATTGTTTTTTGGGTTATGAATACATATCAAATATAATGCAGGACTATTTTCCTCCAACTTTAGTTTTTTTCTAAAGGACAATATCTTTAATTACAGCAAGATGTCTAGCCCTGCCAAAACAAGGCCTCAAGAAAATAGCTGAACTCAGTTGTTATTTCTCCAGAAATCTTTAGCAGAATCCTTTAGCAAACAATTTACATAATCTGACAAGAAACCATAGTACTCACCAACTTTTTATTAAGAACATTTTCAGCCATGCAAAGTTGAAAGATTTAAAGTATTTACTCTATCCATGTATATGGCAAGGGATGCTGAGAATGGAACCCAAGACTTTACACATGCTAAGAGTATGTTCAGCCACTGAGCCACATCTTCAGCCTGTTTGGTTTTTGTTTTCAAACTAATATCAACTAGTCAGGCATAATATCCGGTTATTATATGTTTTGCTTTCTTTTAATCTCAAATAATTCTATCACTTGTTTCATCTCATTGAAATTCTAGACTGGCTACTTTGTAGGATCATCCACATTTTGAATTTGTTCTTTTCTCAAAGTATCATTTAAGTTGTTCTTTTATCCCCTATTTCCCATAAACTAACAGTTAGCTCCGGAGGCTATGGTTAAACTGAGTTGTACATATTTTTTTGAAAATATAGCTATTAAAATAGAATTTTAAAAATAAAAATAAGGAAAGAGTGAAGGAGGGAGGGAGGGAAGAAAGAAGGAAGGAAGGAAGGAAGGAAGGAAGGAAGGAAGGAAGGAAGGAAGGAAGGAAGGAAACTGAAGCCAAAGGTCAGGTGCCAGTGGCTCATGCCTGTAATCCTAGCTACTCAGGAGGGCTGAGATCTGAGGATTGGGGTTCAAAGCCAGCCAGGGCAGAAAACTACATGAGGCTCTTGTTGTGCTGTGGGTCCAAGTGGTAGAGTGCTAGCCTTGAGGGAAAAGCTCAGGAACAATGCCCAGCCCTTAAGTTCAAGCCCCTCAGCCAACAAAAGCAAAAAAGAAACCAAGTGCTGGTGACTCATGCAAATAATCTGAGATGTTCAGGAGGCTGAGATCTGAGAATCGCAGTTCAAGCCAGCCAAGGCAGGAAAGTTTGTGAGACTTTTAACTCCAATTAACTATCCAAAAATGCGTAAGTGGAGCTTTGGCTCAAGCATTAGCCTTGAACAAAAAAAGCTCAGGAATAATGACCAGACCCTGAGGTCAAGTCCCTGGATTAGCACCAAAAAAAGGGAAAAAGAAATGCAATAGAATTCTTCTGAAGCTCATCTGCAGATAACAGAGGAAGTTTAGAAATTAACAGTAACATACCAATTCAAGGATTATACATTTACTATTGAAACAGGCAGTGTGGTGCATGTGAAGTAGCACCTTGGGGTGAAGAGCCCTGATTCTTGCTTACTGTCTGGAACATTCAGCCATATTCTCTCAAGCAGGTCTCTTTCCTCTCTTCCTCATTTCTTCATCTTCAGGAGAATGTGTTCTCAAATTCTAATCATGAATGAATTTCAGATACAACTCACTGATTAAAGATACATGCACAAGTAGATGATACTTCTTTTAAAATAAGATATTCAACAACCCCTTGTGTGAAAAGTTTGTAAGTTTTAGAGTGTTTGTCAAGTAGCTGTCATTATACGGTCTCATGGTATAGATAATTTTTAAAAGAATCATTGCATTTAAGCATGGTTGTTGGCAAGGATGAATATGATGACTCTGTGCCTTTTCCTATTTCCTATTTGTAATATGCCTACTACAGGAAGGAGCAAAGGAGTACGCCATGCTCCATAATCCCCGCTCCAAGTGCTCTGGGCGCCGCAGGCGAAGGCATCATGTGGTCAGTGCTTCTTGCTCCAATACTTCAGCCTCTGCTGTGGCTGAGACTAAAGAAGGGGACAGTGACAGGGACACAGGCAATGACTGGGCCTCCAGTTCTTCAGGTACAATAAACAGAAAATAGAGAAGATAGTGGGCCTGTTAAACCCACGCTCACTATCTGGCTTAACACTTAATTCTTTCCATTGGCTTATCTATAAAGAATATTTTCATTCTTAACTATTCTGTATTTTAAATTAGAATAATGGGCTGAAGTTTTGGCTCAAGTGGTATAGAGCTTGCCTAGCAAGCACAAGGTCCAGAGTTCAAACCCCAGTATTGGAGAGGGGGGAGCCTAAAAAGTACTATGATATAGTTCTGAGTTTGTGACAAACTACTAATGACTACTGCATTTCACTCTCTTCTGTTTTTTGCTTGCTTTAGAGGCTAACTCTCGTTGTCAGACCCCCACAAAACAGAAGGCCAGTCCAGCCCCACCTCAACTTTGTGTTGTGGAAGCCCCTTCAGAGTCTGTGGAGTGGACCGGGGCTGAAGAATCTCTTTTTAGAGTCTTCCATGGCACCTACTTTAACAACTTCTGTTCCATTGCCAGGCTTCTGGGGACGAAGACATGTAAGCAGGTAACTACTTTTTCTGTTGTTGTTGGTCATGGGGCTTGAACTCTGGGCTTGGGCACTGTCCCTGCACTCTTCAGCTCAAGGTGAGCACTCTACCACTTGAGCCACAGCACCACTTCCAGTCTTCTGGTGGTTAAATGGAGATAAGAGTCTCACAGACTTTCCTGCCTGGGCTGGCTTTGAACTGCAATCCTCAGATCTCAGCCTCCTGAGTAGCTAGGATTACAGGCATGAACCACAGGCACCCAGCCAAGCAGGTAACATCTTCAGAGTAGTATCTTTTCACCCATTGTACTGTTCCTTCACTATCTTTTCATATTGTGTTTCTGGAGAGAAATTGTCTTAGATTCAGGTAGGCCTAAGTCTTTGCTTCTGGGTCATAAAGTAGATTCCTAGTCATGGACAAATCCCAGGCCTCTGCTCTACTCCTTGCCAAATGTTTCTCATTGCTATTTAACTTTTCTGGATGATCCTGAACTCCTTTACCTACTTCATGGTTCCTTCCTTTCTGAATGTATACCTGAATTCTAGATGACCTCAGTCTATCTGTGGGTCTTCTTAGTGTCACACACTTGCCAGTATAGCAGCTATTCCTTTCATCCTTGTGTGCTTTATTCTCCATATTTCATATCATGAAGTTTTATAATTTCCACCCTCAATAGATGGTCCCAGACCTCAATCTTTCTCTCTTATCAGCAGAGAGTGAAACAAAAAAAGACTTAAATGAGAAGACAGAGTATAGAACCAGTGATAAGTCATGGGTTGAAGCCAATATGCCCATCAAAGAAAGGAGCAGACCAACCTGTTCATGTAACTCCCCAACTTCTGGAGACATCTCTAGAACCTGTTCTTGGGAGCAGGTCCCCAAGTATTGCTAGGTCTGACATTTGCAGAAAGACCTTCATTAGGCCTTCATGTTCCTTTATAAAACCATTAAAAGACTCATAAGTTGAAGTGCCCCATGCCTAGTGTTTTACCTGTTTCCTTGCAACACAACCTTTTTATATCTTTTATTTTTTGCATCAGCCAACCTGGACGACAATTATATTTATACTTCCTGTGTAGCTGTATTGGTTGAGATGGAGTCTTGATAAATAACTTTTTGCCTCAGATGGCTTTAAACAGCAATCCTTTAGATCTCTACCTTCCAGGTAGCTATGAGTATAGGCCTCAGCCACAATGCTAGGCCTTAACACAGGTGTTTGTTTGTCAGTCCTGGGGCTTGAACTCAAAAGTCCTAGACACTGTTCCTGAGCTGCTGCTGCTGCTTTTTTATTTTTTGTCAGTTGTGGGGCATGAACTCTGGGCCTGGCATGCTGTCCCTGAGCCCTTCAGTTCAAGGCGAGTGCTCTACCACTTGAGCCACAGCGACACTTCCAGTTTTCTGGTGATTTATTGGAGTTAAGAGTCTCCCAGACTTTCCTGCCCAGGCTGGCTTTGAACCGCAATCTTCAGATCTCAGCCTTCTGAGTAGATAGGTTTATAGGCATGAGCCACTGGCTCCCTGCCCTGAGCTTCTTTTGCTCAAGGTTAGCACTTGAGCCACAGCACCACTTCCGGCTTTTTCTGTTTATGTGATATTGAGGAATTGAACCCAGGACTTCAGGCATGCTAGGCAAGCACTCTATCACTAAGCTGCATTTCCAGCCTTAAGATAGGTTCTTAACCTAAAAATCTATACAGTGAATGCAAAAAATTATCCTGTATATTTTCCTGATAAGATTTATACTTTTTACAGAATCTCAGATGGTACTTAGCCAATGGGAAAAAGAAAAAGCTAAAAATAAGTGCTATAAAAGAAGAAACCTGGGCTGGGAAGGTGGCTCAGTGGTAGAGCGCTTGCCTTGCATGCATGAGGCCCTGGGTTCAATTCCTCAGCACCACATAAGAAAAAAGAAAAAAGCCAGAAGTGGCGCTGTGGCTTAAGTGATAGAGCACTAGCCTTGAGCTGAAGAGCTGAGGGACAGCGCCCAGGCCCAGAGTTCAGGCCCCACGACCGGACCCCCCCCCCAAAAAAAAAGAAGAAACCTGCTGAAAAGTGTACCAGCCTTCCTGAGCTGACATGCTACCAAACTCTAGTCAAGGCTCTTAGAGCTTTCTACCAACAGAGGGAGCTAGTGCTTAGCACTAGTTCACATTCTACTCAGTTACACTGGTAACACACAGTTGCCCTTTCTAAAAGCAGCACACATTGTGAGTTGAAGCAGGGCGCTTTTGGTGTGATGGAAAGGGTGGTAGATGAGAGCTGCTGATAAAGGAAGGTGTTACTCTGTTCAATATTTCTTCCTTCCTGAATCAGGGCAAATGATTAGGAGTTAACCTTCACAGACATTGGCCCCATGTCCCACTGGTGCTCTGTTTCTTTCTGACTAAAAAGATATTCAATCTACTGTCTACCAGCTCTCCAGAACTCCCCCAAGTCAGCACTTGGCTGGGCCATTTAATGATTGCTTGACTCCAGATGGTGTGATAGGCCCTGTTGGATTTCTCTTACAGGTCTTTCAGTTTGCAGTGAAAGAATCACTTATCCTGAAGTTGCCAACAGATGAGCTCATGAATCCATCACAGAAGAAGAAAAGAAAGCACAGGCAAGGATTGGACAAAGGACTTTTTATGACCAGGATGTGCCCTATGTCCTGATCTCTTGGGCTGATACCTGCCTCCCTCTTGGTCACTGCATAAGACTTAGTGAGCCCACCATTCAGCACACACAGCTGAAGGCCAGCATTTCAAGTGCTCCTTAAAGATCCTTGCCTGGGACTGGCCCAGCTACCCTGGGGTAGCTGTCTATTTTCCATTAGAATGTGAGCTGGCTCATGGCTCCACACTGAAAGCATATCTTCTCATTGGGTGATTGCCCACTTTTCAACTCTGACAGTTTATTCCTTTTTAAAAAGCCGGGCGCTGGTGGCTCACGCCTGTAATCCTAGCTACTCAGGAGGCTGAGATCTGAGGATCGCGGTTCAAAGCCAGCCCGGGCAGGAGAGACGGTGAGACTCCTATCTCCAATAAACCACCAGAAAACCGGAAGTGGCACTGTAGCTCAAGGCGAGCGCCCTACCACTTGAGCTACAGCGCCACTTCCGGCTTTTTTCTGCTTATGTGGTGCTGAGGAATAGAACCCAGGGCCTCATGCATATTAGGCAAGCACCCTACCCCTGAGCCAACTTCCCAGCCCTGACAGTTTATTCCTTTTCTTTGCTTATCCACATGTTATTTTCCTTAATTGTATACCACTGTCTTATAGCCAGTTTTTGTTTAGGGTTGGAATTTTCTTTTTAAATTCAACACTCATTGTAGCTCAGTTTCCCAGTAACTGTTAGTTTCCAAAGGAAGGAACTGATACCAGTTCCAGATATAGAAGAAAGGCCTTCTCTATCTCTTGTCAACTCTTCCTTGTCAGTTCCTTCATTCAGAGAAGATCCCTGAAAGGCCTTCCCACCTGCTGTCTTAAAACTCTCCCATATCCTGCCTCAGCCAAGAGGGAAGACAATAGCTTTATAGTAGACATATAGGCCTGGGCCTTGTTTGTTTTACTTTTTATTCTATTCTACTTGTTTTGGAGGGGTGGTATTGTTTAAATCTTGCAGCCATAGGCCAGCTAGATGGGCTCTCATACAGCAAAAGAAGGCCTTCTATTAAGGGATTTTGGAAGAATATTCTGAAGTTGTCAGAGCAGATCCCCCTGTCATTTACCTGCATTTATGGAGCTCCTGAGGACTATGACCCAGACCCATTTCTTTTGTTTTTCAGATTGTGGGCTGCACACTGCAGGAAAATTCAGCTGAAGAAAGGTAAGTTCAAAGCTAAGAGTGTTGGGCTGGGAAGGTGGCTCAGTGGTAGAGCGCTTGCCTTGCATGCATGAGGCCCTGGGTTTGATTCCTCAGCACCACATAAGCAAAAAGAAAAAAGCCGGAAGTGGCGCTGTGGCTCAAGTGGTAGAGCGCTAGCCTTGAACTGAAGAGCTGAAGGACAGCACCCAGGCCCAGAGTTCAGGCCCCACAACTGGACCCCCACCCCCCAAAAAGAGCTAAGAATATAGCCTGAGCGTATGCTTACCATGTGCCCTTGATTCCTTCCTAACAACACACACACACACACATACACACACACACGCAAGAAAGAGAGAAAAGAAAAGAAAAAGGAAATGATGCCAGGGTATCATTTAGCATTTTAGTTCAAGGCCTTGCTCTGTGGCCTCATCACCCTGCCCCACCTACAGCTGCACTTGCTGACCCTGGCCGCTTCCGCAGATTGTAGATTTCTGTGCAGCAGCTAAGAAGGGCTGAGCCTCTTACAGCAGTTGAGAAGACCTCTTAGGAGGTAGTTAGGAGCCTTGTGGTCTCTGAGTTTCCTAGTGTGTTGTTTGCCAGATTCCAGGCCTCTTTTACTGTTTAGAATAGCTGCTCTGTTATCTCAGACCATCTCTACACCCTGCCCACAAAACAGACCTCCCCATTGTAGCTTGTGCACAACGATCATCCACACTCTTTTCTAACCTCAGATACTGTAGGAGTATCCAAGGCCAGAGCCTGTTTAGACTCAGCCACTGGAACATTTGGGAGGGAGGGCAGTGAGGGAGCTTGGTCTCAGCAGTGTCCTGCATGTTTGTTTCTTCTCTCTTCTAGATAATTCTTCTACACAAGTGTACAACTATCAACCCTGTGACCACCCAGACCGGCCCTGTGACAGCACCTGCCCCTGCATCATGACTCAGAATTTTTGTGAGAAGTTCTGCCAATGCAATCCAGATTGTAAGATAATCACACTTTTCCCTATAGTCTTCTAAAGCACTCAGCCTCAGGGAGCCCAGCCTCCCCTTTCTTCCATTCCTTCCTTCTTAGCTTGTCCTATGGGCATCCTATAGGGGAAGCAATATGCTGAAAATCTGGAAAAATCATAGGGTTTGATTTTGTTTAAAGACATGATCCTAGGTCTGGAAATGTGGCTTAGTGGAAGAGTGCATGAAGCACTGGGTCCAATTCCTCAGTACCTCATAAACAGAAAAAGCCAGAAGTGGCTCTGTGACTCAAGTGGTAGAGTGCTAGTCTTGAGCAGAAGCTCAAGGACAGTGCCCAGGCCCTGAGTTCAAGCCCCAGGACTAGCCAAAAAGACATGATCTTGTTCTGTTGTCAAAGCTAGCTTGAATTCCTGGGTTCAAGTGATTCTCTTTCTCAGCCTCCTGAGGCACTGGACTACAGGTGTGAACTACCTCATCCAGGTAGGAAAATAATTTTTTAAAAGCCCTTAGGTTCAGACTCTAAAAGCAGCAATTAGACAGAAATGGGATACTTCCTCGTTTTTCCCTTTCAGGTGAAAACTAAAAAACAGGATTCTTTTTCTTTAAAATGTACTGTTGGGCTGGGAGGGTGGCTCAGTGGTAGAGTGCTTGCCTTGCATGCATGAGGCCCTGGGTTCAATTCCTCAGTACCATGTAAAAAGAAAAAGCCAAGGGGCTGGGAAGTTGGCTCAGTGGTAGAGCGCTTGCCTTGCATGCCTGAGGCCCTGGGTTCGATTCCTCAGCACCACATAAGCAAAAAGAAAAAAGCTGGAAGTGGCGCTGTGGCTCAAGTGGTAGGGCGCTAGCCTTGAGCTGAAGAGCTGAGGGACAGTGCGCAGGCCCAGAGTTCAGGCCCCACAACCGGACCAAAAAAAAAAAAAAAAGAAAAAGCCGAAGTGGCACTGTGGTAGAGCTCAAGTGGTAGAGCACTAACCTTGAGCTAAATAGCTGAGGGACAGTGCCCAGGCCCAGAGTTCAGGCCCCATGACTAACCAAAAAAACAAAAAAACTGTCTTCCTTTTCAGGGTGTTGCTTTTTGTTGTTATTGTTGTTTTTCACTTTTTTGCGGGGAGAGTGTCAGTAATGGGGCTTTACTTTGGCCTGGACGCTGTCCCTCGGCTCTTCAGCTCCAGGTTAGTGCTCTATCACTTGAGCCACAGCACCACTCCGGTTTTCTGAGTGGTTTATTGGAGATAGGAGTCTCACGGCCTTTCCTGCCCCAGCTGGCTTTGAACCTCAATCCTCAGATCTCAGCCTCCTGAGTAGCTAGGATTGAAGGCATGAGCCACTGGTGGCCGGCTGTTTTTTCACTTCTTTGAGTTCATTTTGATAATTTTTTTTTGGGGGGGGGATCCGGTCGTGGGGCCTGAACTCTGGGCCTGGGCACTGTGCCTCAGCTCTTCAGCTCAAGGCTAGCGCTCTACCACTTGAGCCACAGTGCCACTTACGGCTTTTTTCTTTTTTGCTTATGTGGTGCTGAGGAATCGAACCCATGGCCCAGGCATGCAAGGCAAGCACTCTACCACTGAGCCACCTTCCCAGCCCCTCATTTTGATAAATATTTTGCATGATGAGATGCACTACGCTTTGTGCCTTTGTGAGGGTGTTGTTTTTAAAAACAAAATTTAGCTGAATATGGTAGTTTACACTTGTAAACCCAACATTTGAGAGAATGAGGCAGGTAGATACCAGGAGTTGGAGACCAGCCTGGGCAGCATTGGAAGACAGTGACTCAGAATATATACGTATACATTTCTTTAGAAAACAATATTTCTGATTATGTCTACTTTCATTTAACAGCTGGAGTTTTTAGAACTTTTTTTTTTTTTGCCAGTCTTGGGGCTTGAACTCAGGGCCTGAGTGTTGTCCCTGAGATTTTCTGCTCAAGCCAGCACTCTACCACTTGAGCCAAAGCACCACTTCTGGCTTTTTCTGTGTATGTGGTACTAAGGAATCGAACACAGGGCTTCATGCATGCTAGGCAAGCACTCTACCACTAAGCCACATTCCCAGCCCTGTTTTCAGAACTTTTTCTTATTAGCATATAGTGATTCTACAAAGTGAAGGGTTTCATTATGACATTTTCATACATTCATGTAAGCCAGAGTTTTAATATTAGGTAGGGACAATGGCTTGGATATCCACAAAGGCTAAAAGCAATTTTCTCCCTTCCTATACTAACATAATCCTTCTGCATTTGGGGCTGAACAGTTGATGGAAGCCCCCCAGAACCTGCAGAAGTTGGTGCCCAGGCAGCTACTAATAAAGAGCAGATACTGATCTTACCACAACTGAGAGGTGCTGGTGGTGGGGAGGGCCATGGGTGGTAGAAGATGATGTGGAACAGATGCATTGTGTTCTCAAAATTATGTTTGTTTTGATGATGAGGATTTACTAGTGAAAAGCCTTGATTTCATTTTCTCTGGGGGGCCTTTCCATACCTCTCTTCCAACAATAAAGGAAGTGGGGCACTGCTGGGGAGTCTCTGGTAGATAACTTCTCATTAATCTCACACCTGCTCTCTTCAGTCACAGAAATGAGCGTTGTGAGACACTTAGTTTTGGGGGGGAAAAAACAAACCTGGAGTATATGACTATTGGGAAGGAAGCTTCTGTCCTGTTTGCCAAACTTCCTTAGCCACATCACATTTATTTCTCTGCTCTCCCTGAGTCCATCTGTGCCCAGCATTGGCTTGTTTCTTGATCTTATCTGTCTCCTCACCCAGGTCAGAATCGTTTCCCTGGCTGTAGATGCAAGACCCAGTGTAATACCAAGCAGTGTCCTTGCTATCTGGCAGTACGAGAATGTGATCCTGACCTGTGCCTCACCTGTGGGGCTTCAGAACACTGGGACTGCAAGGTGGTCTCCTGCAAAAACTGCAGCATCCAACGTGGCCTCAAGAAGGTAGGACCTTTGTTCAGGTCAAGATAATGGAGTGGAATTGAGGGAATAGTCCCAGGCATCTTCTTTCCCTTGGTTTCTCTCTCTCTCTCTCTTTTTTTTTTTTCTTTTTGCTGGTCTTGAGGCTTGAAGTCCAGGCCTGGGCACTCTCCCTGAGCTCATACCTGTAATCCTAACTACTCAGGTGCCTGAGATCTGAGGATCATGGTTTGAAGCCAGACTAGGCTCTTATTTCCAGTAAACTACTCAGAAAAAGCCAGAAGTGGTGCTGTGGCTCAAGTAGTAGAGTGCTAAGCCTTGAGCAAAAGAAGCTCAGGGACAATAGATCCTAACACACATTGCCATATTAAAGTTTTCTGTTCTACTTCAGGATCAGAAAAGTGGCCCTTTAACTGGCCAAACTGAATGGTGCGCAGAGGGGGATATGGTACCACAAAGCTATACCCCCAGCTCCAAAGCCGTCCATGTTTGCCTCCTATATAGCCCAGTAGGTCCTTGGGGAGGAGGAAGACACGTCTTGTTTCCTTTCTCCACCTCCCTGTCTTGTTTTTCCTCTGACTAGATTAGAATAGCTTAGACTTCTTTCTGTTTTCAGATCCTCCTAACAGTGGCTAGATCTTTCCACCTGCCCACCCCACACACCCCTACTTACTGATAACCCACCCTTTCATCTGAGGCTTGCCTCCCTCTCCTCCAGCACCTGCTGCTGGCCCCTTCCGATGTGGCCGGATGGGGCACCTTCATTAAGGAGTCTGTGCAGAAAAATGAATTCATATCTGAATATTGTGGTGAGGTGAGTGCTATGGGTTTGGCCCATATTCTTACTGATGAGAAACTCTGATTTTCTGTGGGTTAGGCTTCTGTGACTTAATCTCTAAATAACTCAGCTAAGTTCTCATGTGACCTCTTGGGGGATCCCACAGAACTGTTTGCAGTCCTGAAACAAACCACTGTTCTTCAATTCGTTGGCACCTCAAGACAGACCAAGGAGAGAAGTGGGGGGCATCTCTTCAGCTTTAATGCTGGTCAGCCTGAGTGGGAATGGAAACAATGTAGGCTGGGCTCTCATACAATTCTCATCATAATACTCAGTAAGCCCCTAACTCTAACAGTGCCTCTTCCCTAGCCCTTTTCTGGAGGTGAGGTGCTATGTTCCAAGCACACAGCCTGACTTTCAGTTGTTCTTTGTGTATCTCTCCAGCTCATCTCTCAGGATGAAGCTGACCGACGAGGGAAGGTCTATGACAAGTATATGTCCAGCTTCCTTTTCAACCTCAACAATGGTATGTCATTGGCAGCTCTTTCTCTTTTGCCAAGGTGGTCTTGTGTGGGTCTACCAAATTGCTTTTGCTATAGTCCAGGTTGAGACCACCTCTGAATCTTCAAGCAGATACACAGAACAAGGTGTTAAGATTGATCAGAACACCTCCATTTTGGAGTTGTGTACCTCAGCAACCTCCCTGCTCAGAAGATGGGAGGAGGAGAGCCACAACTGAAACAAGAAGGAGGACCCAAAGGGAGCATTCTCACATGAGCCAGAATTTTCCAGCTTCGTGCTTTCCAAGGATCCTGTTACTCACTGGGCTTCACATTACTATTGAACTGAATTGTTTCTGTTACTGTTAACTGATTTTAAACTCAGGCTACCGAAGTTTGGAGTCACTTGTCTTCTCATGGTCTTCATTATGTATGTTATACAGATTTTGTTGTAGATGCTACCCGGAAAGGAAACAAAATTCGATTTGCAAACCATTCAGTGAACCCCAACTGTTATGCCAAAGGTGAGGTTCCAATAACCTAGCAGGTGGGGTGGATCCCTTGTTTACTATGACTTCTATTCTTTGTTCAACTTTTTCATAGCTGAGCTATTTTTTTTGTCCAAAGATAACCATGATTAGAATCTGGCATCATTTTAGGCTTTGTCTCTTTCATAACCTACTTTTTTTTATTATTAAAAGCATGATCTAGGGCTGGAAATATGGCTTAGTGGTAGAGTGCTTGTCTAGCATGCGTGAAGCCCTGGGTTCAGTTCCTCAGTACCACATAAATAGAAAAAGCCAGAAGTGGTGCTGTGGCTCAAATGGTAGTGTGCTATCCTTGAGTGAAAGAAGCTCAGGAACAGCACCCAGGCCCTGAGTTCAAGCCCCAGGACTGGCAAAACATAAAATAAAAGCATGATCTAACAAATCCTATACAAATGATCTAAAGATAATTCTTTCCCCATATCACTGCAGTGGTAACATCCAAAAGCATATTGACAACTACCTTCATTGAAAACTTTCTAATTCCACTTTACTGAGAATTTGGAGAAAATCAGCCTAGAATTTTCCTGAACATTGATATACAGTGACTGGGAAGCTAGCTTTGGGTTTTTCCTATTTGCAGTGGTCATGGTGAATGGAGATCATCGCATTGGGATCTTTGCGAAGAGGGCAATTCAGGCTGGTGAAGAACTCTTCTTTGATTACAGGTGAGGTGGTCAGGAATGATCCTGGAGAGGGAGCCTTGGTGGCAGAAAGGGTAGCTATTGGAATTGATTTGGGGCCCAAGGGTGGGTAGGAAGGATGAAGGAAGGGTCTCATCGTGGCATTGGCCAGTGCCCATCTCCAGTGCCTTACTCAGAGCGGGAACAATTGCAAATGATTTTAGGGAGTATGAGGGGAAGTAAAACAATCACAAAAGCCTCAAAAATAACCTCTTCCCCCCTGCTCTGGGACAGGTACAGCCAAGCTGATGCTCTCAAGTACGTGGGGATTGAGAGGGAGACCGATGTCCTCTAGCCCTACTGGCCCTGCACCAGGCACTGTCGTTCATGCACACACCACTGCAGCTCAAGCCCCTGCACTATGTGTCTTCCACACCAAGAAACCCCACCCGCTCCCTCTATAGCAAGGCCTCAGCTGTGTCCCAGGAGGACAAACCATCTCAGAGAGAAGAGGGAAGACAGAGGCAAACATAGCTTGGTCTTCCAGGCAAGAAAGCTCAAATGTGGAGGTTGCATCTCAACCTGAAGAGGGCACAGGCTGGGGTGGATGATAACGCTTGATTTCTCCTCAGCCCTCCAGGCTGTGAACCTCAGGAATTCACTTTGGCAGTTTCTGACAAGTGCTGTCATTTTAGCTTTCCCAAACAAGGGTCTTTATGTAATTGGGATGCCAGGAATATCTAAATGAAGTCTGGTCCCTGGAGCCTACTGTGCTCTGGGTTAGAGGTAAGCTTGCAGTTAATATAGAGTGTATGCAGAGGGAGATGGTTGCCTTCCTATTGCTTCCCTCTAGGGGGGTCCAAACTGAAGGCTTTCAGAAGGTCTTCCCTGTACTTCTGAAGGGGTGTGGTATTTTCAGATTCCTAGGAGCAGGCACCAGCACCCCAGCTCCTTCCAAAGTTGTAGCTCAGTAACTGCAGGCAGGCCTTACGTACTCCTGGTGAAGCATTGGGTGTGTCTGCTTCATTGGACTGTAGGGTTTTTTGTTTTTTTTTTTCCAAGCTTTCCTTTCCTAGAGGCTAGGTCCAAAGGGCCAAGTGTCTGGGAATGGGGCTGGATTAGAGAGGGATAGATTGTTGGTATGATTTAGTCCCTGTCTCCTGCTGTTTGGAAAGGAAAGGGTGAGTTGGCAATATGTTTGCAGGTGGGTGAGGGATGCAGTTGCACACATTTAGAATGGTGACACAGTGCAGGGCAGGCTGGCAAAAGGTGTTTGCTGTGTGGAGCCTGCAAATCACCTGACCCAGTCTGAGGTGCCATTCTCTCTGGGATTCATGTAGAACAAAGCACTTTAACTTTCTTTTAGAAGGTCTATAGATTGGAGTAGAATTTAAGCCAGGGTCTCTTGTTTCTGCCCAAATCCCACTTCAGAGGAAGCGGGGTAAGAGGGGCTAGATATTTTCCCCTCCATTTCCAACTCATCTAGGAGAGGCAGGAAGAACTGGCTTGACTCAGAATTTACAAGTCAGGAGCCAGCAAGAGCTGCCCTGGGTCTGTGACTGGTGTGCTGAGCTGGCAGGGAATAAAGAACATTGTGCTGGGTAGAAAGGGCTCAGACAGGTATGGACTGGCCTAGGGAGTGTTAGAATGGGGAGCCAGAATTTCCTTTTTTTCTAGAGAACCAGAGCCTCCTACACTTGACCTGTACACACACACACACACACACACACACACTTAGGCACGTATGCACACACATACACACACAGCCTCCTACACTTGACCTGTGTACACACACACACACATACACTCTTAGGCAAGTATGCACTCCACACTCAGCACATACCCATCTTTCTCCTACCATGATTCTGAAATCCTCCTGTGCTGTGTTTGTTTTCCTTGTGTGTATCAGGATAGCCTCAAGCTAGATTATGGGCTCTGAATTAATCATTAATTCGGGGGAGGGGGGAACCAGACAATTGGCGGCATTAGGGCTGTCCGGAATGCCAAAGATTGTCCCATGAAATAGATGTAGATTAAAAAAAAGAAAAAACTTTACAATCTTTGCAAGGCTAAACTGACCCCACCCTCTCTTCAACAAGCAGAATCACTGGTCAATCCTTCCTTCTTCGGTTTCATACCCCTAATACTCTGTTCCTTCAGCATTCCTATCCTTTGCCCACCCCCCTCCTCCCTTTAATGACGGGTTTCAACCCCCCCCCCCCCCATGCAATGATGAATGGAGTAAGCTGATGGGGACTGGGTGGGGGAGGCTGGTGTATGTGCAACTTTATTGCCAGTGAATTTCATGCACTTTAAAGTCCTGTGGCTTGTGACCTCTTATCTAATAAATTGTTAGAATCCATTTGAGCAAGTTGTGTTGTGTGTGCTTTGGTGTTAGAAGGATGAAAGACAAGTACAGGAGCAAATTGGGTGGAAGGAACTTCAGCATTCCTCACTCCACTATCCACTGATACCTCAGAGTAGGTCATGCAAGCCTTAGGCTCCTGGCTGCAAAGGATCCAAGAGCTCCTAGACATTCTCAAACCTTCAGATCAGTTCTCTTAAAATTCCCCCACCTATCCCGACACCAGCCACCACACACAGACTGGAGCTCTGCCACTCTGTTTTATTGGACCAGCTCAGAGTCAAGGGCACTGCAGGCTCTGCCCTAGGCCTAGTGGACTGGGTGAGTGGCCAACAGAACTCAAGAGATGTCCAACACAGGAGGAGCTCACTAGACTGTGGGCACAGCACAGGACAGGACAGCTGATTTGAGTTTTTCTTTTATATATAAACAGATAATTAGAAAATTAGAATAATATATAGTTTCTCTAGAGAGAGACATTGCAAACAAAAATATATATAAAGAATAGGACCTCCCAGACAAATAAAGCAGCATCTCTGAGCGGAGGAAAGAGGGCTCCTCATGCATTGGAGAGGGGGCCTGGCACCAAGGCTATTGCATATCTCAGAAAGGGGTTTAAGCGTAGAGGGTTGGCTGGCAGGGTATCTGCATTATTTCTCTACTTGCAGGGTTTGTTTTTGTTTTTTTATGGCTTTGGCCAAAGCATGTGAAGCAGCGGAAGTACTAAAGTGCTAAACTGAGGCCACTTGGTCTCTGTAAAAACAAAAGGGGGATGGGGGACAGTGATGAAGCAGATGGAAGACATTCAGCAGGGCAAGGGAGAGGCTGGGGGATGTGTATTAGCAGCCTCCTCCCCCCATGCCCTGTGCAGCCCTGCAATCCCACACATCTGTCCCTGCTGATGATGTATGTGGGAAGGGAGGCAGTTCATCTCCCGTACACTCTGTTGTTAATCCCCGGCAGCAGCTGGGACAGAGATGGCAGGAAGGGGCCTGTCTCCACCCCATAAGGCTTCTCCTCTGGGGCGGACAAACAGCCAGGAGCCTGGGGAAGTGGGTGAGCAGGGCATTGGTCTAGGCAGTGAGGCTCAGCCACTCCCTTTGGTCCCATCTGTAGCTCTGCCCACCAAACTTGGCAGGAGGAGAACTCTCTGGGTGAGCAGAGCCAGCTAAGAGGAGCCAAATGTCCCTGATGGGGTGGGATGGGGGTAGGGAGGCAGGAAATGGGGAATTCAGAGGAGTTGGACTTGGTCCTTGAAGCAAGCCCTTCTCCTGATCATTCAGACCTGGATTCCTCCAGGATTTGGGGTAGGTTCTGGTCCCGGGGACCTGGGCCAGTGGCTGGGGCTGGGGCTGGGGTTGGGGTTGGGGCTGGGGCTGGGGCTGGAACTTGGGTGGGAGCTGGTGTGGGGGCAGGGGCCTGGGCAGGGCCTGAAGGAGGTAAGGGAGTTTTGCTCCCAGGATGATAATCGTGGGTGGCCTTGGGCTCATTGGTGTGGTAGGAGCCCTTGTAGCGATGATTTTGCAGATAGAAGAGCACCAACATTCCCACAAGCCCCAGCAGCAGGAAGGCCACCAAAACTGCAAGGAAGAGGAGGGACAATTCAGCATCGTGGGGTTTGACCTCCACACATACTTAATCAACATTAATGACCAATTATGTCCACTATATAAACACAATACAAGCAATTCCTAAGTGTTCAGTAGGTCTAAATTCCTGTGATTTCCTCTGCCAACTTGATTTTTTTTTTTCCAGTCCTGAGGCTTGAACTCAGGGCCTGGGCACTGTCCCTGAGCTGCTTTTTCTCAATGCTACCATTCTACCACGTGAGCCACAGCACCACTTCTGGCTTTTTCTGTTTATGTGGTACTGAGGAGTCAAACCCATGGCTTCATGCATGCTAGGCAAGCACTCTACCACTAAGCCACATTCCCAGCCCTGTTGTTTTTAATGCCAGTCCTAGGAGCTTGAACTCAGGGCCTGGGCACTATCTCTGAGTTTTGTTGTTTTTTTTTTTTTGGCCAGTTCTGAGGCTTGAACCCTGGGCCTGGGTGCTGTTCCTGAGCTCTGCAGCTCAAGATGAACACTACCACTTGAGCCACAGCGCCACTTCCAGTTTTCTGGTGGTTAATTGGTGGTTAAGTGTCATGAGCTTTCCTGCATGGGCTGGCTCTGAACCATGATCCTCAGATCTCAGCCTCCTAAGTAGCTAGGATTACAGGAGTAAACCACCAGTGCACAGCTATCTCTGAGCTTCTTTTACTCAAGGCTAGCATACTACCACTTAAGCCACAGCTCCACTTTCAGCTCTTTTGGTACTTGATTGGAGAGAAGAGTCTCACAGACTTTCCTACCTGGGCAGGCTTTGAACTGGGATCCTCAGATCTCAGCTTCTTGAGAAGCTACAATTATAGGTATGTGTCACCAGTACTCAGCCCAACTTCTATTTTTAATATTCTCTTTCCACATGCCTGGTAATCATCCCAGTTTCCTCAGCCTTTTAACTATAGCTGTACTTTAATATTTAATTTTAATAAAAAATTTATAGTATCCTCAAACATTAAAACATATCTACCCCATCAGCAAGGCCTTATCATCCTTCCTGGTTTCATCAGCATCTAGTACCATCACCCCCTCCTCAGGCTCAGGGACAGGGCAGGGAAGGAATATAGATAGGGTTGTTTTGGGCTGGCATGGTCAGTGCTACTTACAGCCTAAAAGTATGGCAACCCATCCATCATCATGGTAGTATGGGAAGTCTGAAGAGAAAACATAAATTAGAAGTCACATCCCAAATTAATCATTGCCCTTCCTTGTCATCCTCCCTTCCCTCATTTGTGTCCTGGGGATGTACCTGGGGGAAGATACCAGGGATCAAGCTCAGGTGGCACCTCTGAGACCAGACGTGGCATAGCTCCACAGTTAGATTCTGACAGTTCTCCCTGAACTCGCAAGGCCTCAGCTAACTCAGCAATCATGGGCCGAGGGGTTCGGAAGTGGGTCTTGAGGGGAGCCACATTGTTGAATCGAACACCAGACAGACATCCAGAGAAACCTGGGGTGTTGTAGCGCTGTATCTCCGGGTCAATGACTCCTGTCTCTGAGGGAGAGGCAGACCCAGAAAGAGAAGGGCTTAGACTAGCCAGAAGCCCTGCCCCTCTCACTGTCCATCTTTCTCACCACAGCCATTTTCCTCTAGCCTCCAAAGACTTCACCTACAACTCTTTGGCCCAGACTTACCCTCAGTCAAGCTTACCCATCACACGCCCTAGATACAAGGCCTTGGGCGAGTCCAGCTGGCTGTCCACCAGCAGTGAGAACTTCTGTTCTGTCAATGGGAAGTAGTCCACCTGAGAGGGAAGGCAGTAAGGAAGGAAGGACAGGGTGGACATAGTCAAGACCTTTATAGAACTCTTATGCTGCTCAAACTGAAGCTCCTATCTGGGTAAGTCATTGCTCATTCCTGAAGTAGGCCACCCCTGGCCCAGATGGAGGACTTAGTAGAGTTCTAAAAAATCTGTATTGGTTTTGTCTTTTCTGTGTGTGTGTATGCCAGTCCTGGAGCTTGAACTCAGGGCCTGTACACAGCTTTTGCTCGGCTAGCACTCTACCACTTGAGCCACAGTGCCACTTCCAGCCTTTTCTGTTTATATGGTACTGAGGAACCAATCCCCGGGCTTTGTGCTTGCTAGGCAAGCATTCTACCACTAAGCCACATTCCCAGCCCTGTCTTTTATTTTATTTTTGAGATACGGTGGCTAGCGTCGCCCAGAGTGGCCTCAAACTCAAAATCCTCCTGCTTCCACCTCCTGAGCAGCTGGAATTATGGGTGTGCACCACCCTACCCAATTAACAGTCTGATTTTGAATACTGTCTTTGTGGCTTACTAGAGGTTTGACTTTGAGAAATCTACTTTATTTTCTATTTACTGATGTATCAAATGGAGATGACAATGAATGTGTACCTGCTACCTCACAGAAGTGGCATGTTGAAATGTGCTTGACACATGTTAAGTGTTTTGACACTTTCTTGGGTACAACGACCAAGACTATGAGGCTGAACTGGCGCATCTTCTTCCACACATACCTGAATGAAGAGGTTGCGGTAGACCCGGGTGATGTTCACACTGTGGGGTTGGCCATCAGTAACTGGCCGGGTGGTTAGCTGGTACACATAGGGACTGGTGCCCAGCTGATAACGCAGCTGCAGGGTCCCTGTGAAGTGGGAAGGAGAAACATGAGTTGTCTCGGCTCCAACCCCCATCTTCAGAGCACTTAGGTCTTAGCATTGCTGAATCAATAGCTATAGGAAGTAGCATCTAGGGGAAGCAAGTCTCCAGGGAGGGAGCCCTTGTGAGGCTTACCATCTTCCTTGATGAGAACAGCCATGTAATCACGCACAAAGGAGCTCACATAGAGCAGGACTGCAGGTGCAGAATTAGTGCTGAAGCTGAAGGAGACCTCTTCTCCTGTCACGTTGTAGACAGGCCCCCGGTAACCGGGCACAGGCCGGCCAGGCCGTGGGTAGTCAGGTAGGCGGTACCCAGGGCCATGATAACCAGGCACGTAGCCTGGGGTGTCATAACCAGGGATATAGCCAGGCTCATAGCCTGGTACTGGCCGACTCAGCATGTGGGAGAACTCCCGGGCTGCAGAGCGCAGTGCTGACTGGAGGTTGTAGCGCATCCAAGTGCCTGGCTCAAAGAAACCACCGATATCTGGAGACAAAGACAGTAAGGTTAGGACCCCCAGATTCACACTAGTTCACTCACAGGTTCACATTAGTTTCTGCTGCTACCATAATCCTCCATTTACTTTTAGGTACCTATGAGGCCCTGTCACAGAATGGAGCCTTTAAGCCAAGAGAAAATTGAAAGATCATCTAATGAGACCCCTGCAGATTAGATAGAGGCTCAAAGATGAGTGATGACTTGCTCAAGGACACAAAGTAAGTGGAGATCCACAATCAAAATGGAGATGTCCTTATACTATCCAGTATACGTGCTACTCACACTTCCCTAAGTCTCTGTATCTCCCTAGTCTGCAAGACTCTTCTCCTCTCATAGTAACCCACCTGCTCACTTATCCCTCTGGGTAAGTGTTAGGGAAGATGCATCTTAGCTATGTGCAGAATCTTGCAATGCTAAGTGTCAAGGCTCTATAATCAAGAACCAGGTTGTAGAATGTTTTAGTAATGGATCATACAGGAAATGGCATGGAAGGATGTCTTGCAACTCAAAGTCACTGTGTATGGGGGAGGGACAGCCTTCATTACCTTGATGATAATGGGGAAATGCAGGAAGTTATAGGCATCATGCTCCTGAGCTCTTTGTCATCTCCTTGTTCTCTATGACTTTAACTGCCTGGCTCCTATAGCTTAGAGCTCAGGAGCCCAGTGACAACTGAGTTTTCCCATATGCTGACTTGGTACCCTCTTTTCCTTTCCTCTCTACACCCCATTTTGCCTGATGGCTTCCTGCCCTCCATAACCAGGAGCACTGACCATGGTTGCAGTAGGGCCCATCGAAAGCCGTGAGGTCACAGTCACATGTGTAGTAGCTATAGCGCTCCACGCAGCGGCCTCCATGAAAGCAGGGGAACCTGGGGTGGACACAGTGGCCCGTGCAGTTGGGGAAGGTGCCCTCAGAGGCATTGGCACGACCCTCCAAGTTCAGAGTTACTCCATTCAGACGCATGGCCCTCAAGCAGCCCACGAATGGGCGTCTCTTAAGCTCTGCAGATCCTGGTCAAGAGATGAGTTGGAGGGGTTGGCTCAAGGGTACAACATGCTTAGTGGCCCTGGGTTCTAGCCCCAGTACCAAAAAAAAAAAAAAAAAGACTGTAGATATAGAGACAAGAATAGCTATTCTGGATGGGACGGGCACCAAGGAACTAGGCGGATGCTCTAGGACACCAGAGATTTCAGGGTTCTGGTGGTATCTTGGATCACTCTGAAGCAGAGGGAACTAGGACTACGATATGGGGTTCCTAGAAACACTGAACATGTACTTAGAAGGATGGCTCTCCCCCTCCCCCCCTGCCTCCCTAGACTGCTGCTCACCAACATAGAGGGGCTGGTCATACTCCAGCCAGATATAGGTCTGCAGAGGCATGGGCCGCAGGACCCAGGGCCGGTGATCCACCCGCAGCCGGGCCTGCTTCACATTGATTTCAGCCCGGACCAGGTGCCACTCATCATCGTTGAACTCAAAGTCATCTGAGTGTACAGTCAGGTTCTCGTCTCCATTCCCCACATCAAAGGCAAAGACCACATCCCGAGATGCTGGACAATGTGACATGGAGCAGGGAGAGAAAAGGACTTGGACCTCCAAGATCCTCCATGGCTTCTGACCCAATACAACATCTCCTCTTCACCCGTCAGTTCTTTGACTATCTCTCCAATTTGTCCACAGCCTGAAACAACTTACCCTCTATCCTCCCAAACCACAGATTCCCTAGAACTAAATTCCCAGTCAGACCTCTTACCTAGCTAGAAGTATAGCTAGTTAAGAGGTAGGAGAGAGACCTCAGGAGTCCAATACTTTCTTCATACATAAGGAATCTAAGTCTCAGAGAGGCAAAATGAGTGCCCAAGGTCACCATCAAGATAGAACTAAGTGTAGGATCCAGAGTCATTGAAAGCCCCTTTTCTCTCCTGCCTCTCAAATGGACGATTGTCCTGGTCTCTTATCCCAACTTTGTCAGTGATACTCTTTTGTTTTTGGTCAGTCATGGGGCTTGAACTCTGGGCCTGGGTGCTGTCCCTGTGCTCTTCAGCTCAAGGCAAGCGCTCTACCACTTGAGCCACAGTACCACTTATGGTTTTCTGGTGGTTAACTGGAGATAAGAGTCTCATGGACTTTGCTGCCCGGGCTGGCTTTGAACCACGATCCTTAAATCTCAGCCTCCTGAGTAGCTAGGATTACAGGCCTGAGCCACCAGCGCCTGGCACCAGTGATACCCTTTTTCTACCCCACACCCCTTCCAGAATCTGGTTGCTCACTGTTAAGTTCCACCCGCACATAAGGCCGGCGCCACTGGCAGAAAGGACCCCCCATGTTCTCCAGAAAAACTCCAGAGGGAGCTGAAGTCCTGAAGTAGAAGGAGACGTCGAGGCTATGGTTGGCACGGATTGGAGGAAAACGTAGTGCAGCCCCAGTGTGGAAGGAAATGGTGTTCCAGGAATTACCTACAAAACCAGAGGAAGGCCTTGTCAGGGAGGTTAGGAAGTGGAGGAGCAAGGAACCTCAGTAGGGCAGGAAAGGAAGGCAACAAGAGATAGGGTGACCAAAGAGAGACGAGATGTGGAATGAACAATAAAGCGCAGAAGAGCAAGGAAAATGAAGGTCAGATCACAGCAGGCGTGTCTTGCAATGTGGTCTAGAGACCCTCAGTGGGTCAGATGGCCTGGATTTTGGAAACAGAAGAGCTAACCTGAGAGGGCACACAAAAGGGGTTTGCCACTCACGGTCGCCATAGCAGCGCAGAGGCCTCAGGAAGAACTGGGCCTCTGAACTGGAGCGGTTTGTATCCCCTACTACCACCTGGGTGACAGGCAGATGATCCACAAAAGTCAGCAGGCCCTTGTCCGTTCTCCTGTGGGAGTAGGATGCAATGACTCAACCTTGCCTCTCAGCAACCCAAGGAGTCCCTCAAAAAACTCATCCTCTGCCAGCTCACCACTGGGGTTGGTCAGCATCACAATTGCAATGCAGAGCAGGGTCCACACAACTTCGGTCGAGCCCACAGGCACAGCGCTGGATCCCAGGCTGGGAGCCTCCCCAGTAGAAATGCTGCTCCTCGTTTCGGCCAATCCAAAAGCTGTAGGGATAGCCTCCTGGGGAAGACACACAGGCAGCTTCCAGGCCCTGCAACTCCATCTGGGCTGCCCATGCCCTTCCAACCATCCCTGACTTTGATTCCTCTAGGCTGAACCCTCTGGGTTCCCCACCCTACCCCCATCTCCCCTCCAGCTCCTCATCCTTGCCCTCCCTGATGCCAGCCTCAACCTGCAGTGTTGAGCAGCCGGGAATTGTAGCAGGAGAACTCGATCCACTGCTCACAATGTTGAGACGCATTGGCCAGGGCACTGACTTCCTCCCAGGATGCATTCCAGTACTGGACAGCCCCCAGGAAGGGCCGCTCCATGCTGGAACCTGTCACCCGAGTTGTCCATAGCCTGTCATGTCGCACAACTGTCCAAGCTCTGTTTTCTGGGGAGGGAAGGGAAGGGACAGAGCTTTGGCTGGACATAGGCATTCTCTACCTACCTCCCTGCCCCAGCCACCAACACAACTGCCACTCAGACCCAATAACTGTAGCCAACAGCCCTCCAGCTCAGCCTTGGGCCCTCCATTTTGGAGGCAGAGATCAGTCAGCTGGAAATGGATAGTAAGTGGGAGTTTATCTGCAAGCCTAGGTTACAAATTCCTAAATGTCTCTTTTCTCCTCTTCCCTCCTTTATCCATCCACATCAGTTTCATCTTATCCTCTGCCCCCCACTCTGTGCTCCATGTACCCCTTGCCCCAAATCTCTCCTATTGCCTGGTCAGCTGTTCCCTCACTATCCATCAGGGCCAATTACCTCGGATATCACAATACACTACAAATGGCTTCAGAGGGCCACTGCCATCAGGATCAATGGTGAAGTTTCCAGAAGTTTTCCCACTGAGCCGATAAGCCTCACAGGATTCCTTATACAAAGCTGGTAGGTGGTAGGATGGGGAAAAGGCAACAGGGAGGGAGGAGGATTTTAGAAGGTTAGAAGAAAGCTAGCCCCTCCATCTTCGGCAGCTTCATAATGCCCAGCAACCTCTCTCTCCAGACTTCCCACCCCGTGTGGCTTACGCTCATGGCAGGTCACCCCCTTGTAGCCAGTCAGTTCGCAGTAGCAGATGAAGTCATCCCAAGACTGGTAGCAGCGTCCATCATGTTCACACATGTTAGGGCTGCATCTAGGGGAGAGGGTCAGCACCAAGGGAAGGGCCTTAGTGGGAGGTTGAAAAGGGATCTGACTTCTACAAGCTCTACTCTCAAATCCCCAGAGCACCAGAACCCAGTGACACATATCTACTGCCTAACTAACCAGTTAGAAATCCAGGTAGTCCCCAGGGCTCAAATACTGCTAATTCTCCCCTTTCCTCCAAAATTGAAAAGTGCCTTATTCCACCCCCCTACCACCACTTCACCAAGAGAAAATGAGGAGCAACTAAGGAGCTTTTGTTTCCACCCTGAGCATTTGAACACTTTACCAGAAAAAATAGTAGGTGGGAGGTCAAAGAAGACTCTTGCCCCAGTTAGGGTGATTAAGGAGCTGAGACAGGAGAAGGGAGATTACTGAAAAGGACACTTCCACTGGGATGTGATGGGAGAGGGTTTCAAAGGGGTCACCTTTTGTTAGGGAAAGGAGCTTCTGGATACCTATCAGTGATGCCACATGTGTCAAAGAGGACCTCAGCAAAGTATCCAAGCCGGCGGAACTCCACCAGAGTCAGGTTGACCAGTTGACCATCCACCTTGAGCAGCTCCATACAGCCATGGAATGCTGTCTGGTTGGAGTGGCAGCCCCATCGACTGGCTGGTTTGGGACAACCTGGAGCAACCACCCCTGTAAGGCCCTCCCCAGGAAAGATCCCAGAGACCCTCCCCCAGGGAGATGACAAGAGAGAGTCAGACATAAAGGGAGAAAGGAAGCTAGAACCAAAATGTAGACTATGGCAATGACCTACCATTTCCCAAGGCCCTAGTGGTGAAAGAAGGTTTGATCTCTACAAAACTGTCCATGTAGTCCCATCTGAATGGACTTAAAAGGGGCCTTCCCACCCAGAGAAGAAGGTCTGACCAGGTTAGCCCTCACTTACCCCCAAAGAAGTAAGAAGTCCCTGTACGGATCAGCAGTGGGTATGAGACTCTGACCTCTGCCCCTTCCACATCATCAATGCTAATGACTGCATGGTTTTCTTGTGCCACAAAATTCACCTCATGCCAGAAGCCATCATTCAGACGGTACCCTGAACAAGAAAGGACATTGTGGGGAGAGAGGAACAGTGACCCGGATAGGAGAGAGGGGAAGCAGCAGCCCCAACAGCTGTGACCCAACAGTTATGTGCAGCTCACTATTGACATAGAGCCCCAGCAATTGACATAGAGTCTACAAAGTCAGAAATGAATAACAACCAGGTGCTGGTTCATACCTGTAGTTCTAGCTACTCAAGAGGCTGAGATCTGAGGATCCCAGTTTGAAGTCAGTGATCAGGCAGGAAAATTTGTGAGACCTCCACTAATCTACCAAAATTGAGCTATGGCTTAAGTGGCAGAACACTAGTCTTGTGCAAAAGAAACTCAGGGACAGCACACAGGCCTTGAGTTCAAGCCCTAGAACCAGCACCAAACACAAAAACAAAATACCTCCAGGAATTCACCCATCCTCCTAGAACTGGAGAGCATCTGGACTCACTGCCTTCCTAAGCATTCCCAGAATTCCTAGTGCCTCTAACCTTTTTCAGTACCTCAGGACATTCTGCCTTTTTACTCTCCTGTCATTAGTATTCAAAAGCCTCAGCCCTAGCCCTTTATCCTTCTCCAGCCTGCTTGTATCCTCTTACCAGCTGCAAACTGAAGCTTCTTTCTGCCAGTCTGTGCAATGGACACATTGACCTGCCCTTCACTGAGCATGAGCTCCACATGACCCAGACCATCTCCCATGCGGGAGAAAAGGAGCAGCCCAGTGAGATCCCAGGTGCGGAAGCGAAAGGAAACTGCGAGACGGCCTCGTCGGGGGAAGCCAGGTACTTGCACAAAGTTGTGAGGGCCTCCAAAATTGATGGGGTGTGGAACTGGATCCAGGCAACGGAAGGCCACCTTACCCTAGGGGAGAAAGTAAAGACACATCAGTCAGCACAAGGACCCCAGGTTCTATCCAGAATTGAATTTCACACTTCTCTAAGACCCTATACTAGCAACCCCTTGGTGTCCTCCACCCCATGGCCCTTTTCCTTGCTTGCTTTTTACCACTGATCTGCAATGTTATCACTTCTTTCTATTCCTTCGAGCATGAGAAGCAATTTGGGGGCCACCCCTTCCCAGCTTTGGAACAGGCACAGGTGCTCATAGCTAGTGGCAAAGATAACGAGAACTTATTCAATCAAGTCCTTACTCTGTCTCTGCAAAACTGCATGACTCCTGATGAAGCCATACCCCTCATCTCTGCACCATATTTCTCTCATGAGTTAACTAAGGTGATTGGACCTAAACAGTTTTAACTAGGAAGTATGTGGCTCTGGCACCTCCCATAAGTCCTAACAATCTGGCTGAGGAGAGAAGAGGCCTCAGTTTTTGTCTGATCCTCTAGATCTCTCCCCACTCTACCTCTTTGCTTTTCAAGCAGCTTTGGTTTCCCAATGTCCCAAATCCCCTTGCCCACTGACCTCAAAGGTGATCCTGGAATGGCGCCGTACAGCCAGGTCCGCAATGTTGACCCGGTTAAAGATTACGTTTTCCATGCAGCCACGGAAGTTATGTCGATAGCCAAGGTTCTTGTGAGCAGCACCCACTAGACCCCCAATGAATATCTGCAAGAAGGGTCCGGGGAAGAGGTTCCTTGGGCACAAGGACCCATATGCCTTTCTCTCGTGCATCATCCCCCATACCTACGTTTTTCCAAGCACAAACCTGGCTTTATAAAATACTTGAAACATACATTTCTCCAGGGTCCGTACTAAAGCTTGTGCTGCCTCCTAAGGCTTGGGTTGAGCCCTAATTCCATCACAAATTGGCTGCAAGCTTCCAATAAGTTTTTGTTGTTGTTGTTGTTGTTTCTGTTTTTGTTTTTTGTTGTGGGGCCTGAACTCTGGGCCTTGGTGCTGTCCCTCAGCTCTTCAGCTCAAGGCTAGCACTCTAGCTACTTCCTGCTTTTTCTGCTTATGTAGTGCTGAGGAATCGAACCCAGGGCCTCATACATGCAAGGCAAGCCCTCTACCACTAAGCCATCTTCCCAGCACAGTAAGTCAATTTTTGATCTGCTTGAGATGTGTGTGTGTGTGTGTGTGTGTGTGTGTGTGTGTGTGTGTATGGTACTGGGGCTTGAACTCAGAGCCTGGGTGCTGTCCCTTGGCTTTTTCCACTCAAGGCTGGGGGTTTACCACTAGAACTACACCTCTACCTCTGGCATTATTATTATTATTATTTATTGGAGAAAAGAGTCTCCTGACTTTCCTGCCTAGGCTAGCTTCCAGATCCTCAGATCTCAGCCTCCTGAGTAGCTAGGATTACAGGAGTGAACCACTGGTGATTCAGGGCAGAGTCTTTATCAATTCCAATTGTGGGAAGATCCAAGGGAACAACTTTTCTACCTTGCCTTTTCCACAAAATCTGAATTTCTAGACCTTACCTCAAAGTTATGAAGTGGGCCCAAGACAAAAGTCTCAGGCTTTTCCAATCAGCAGAAAGTTTGAGAAAGAAAACTGTCCTCCACCCATTCTCCCAGCAACACCCAACCAATGGTGCCTCTTCACCTCGGTGTCCAGGTTTAGCCTCTCAAAGTCGCCATTGAGAATGAAGCGATGCACATAGCCATCCAGGGTGAGATTTGCTTCACGGCCATATCGGTCCACGCGCACATAGTGCCAGTGCTGGTCGTTCAGGACGCCCCCAGCGCTCACAGTTGTGTGTCCAGGTCTTGGCTGGATGGGGCTGCTGCCTGAGGGTGGAGCAGGTCAAGAATGAGGCCTAGAGCCCCCAGGCAGAGCCGCAGGGTGCAGGTAGCCTAGGAGAGAAGCCTGGAGCCTGGGGTGGAGAGATTGTCAAGGGGCCTTTTGTCCTACCTGTAAAACTCAAGTTGTACCTAATCCTGCAGGTGTGTGAAAAGCAAATGTGTGTGTGTGTGTGTGTGTGTGTGTGTGTGTTTACAGTGAGCCAACCTAAGCCAGGGAGATGCCTGTCCAAGGTCACACAGCTTGTAGATTACACAGCCAAGGCTAGAATCCAGTCCTTCTGTGTTTGGGCCAGGCCGTAAAGGAATGGGTCGGGCTTGGCTGTGCGCAAGCGCCGGGGACAGGGCACTCACCCAGGCTCATGTGCAGCACCAAGTGCGCCCCCTGTAGTTCGAGGGTCACATAATCGCCCTGGGCGCCCTCGGTGTGTAGCAGCAGCCCGTCCTTCTCCTCCGTCTTGAAGCTGAAAGCGAACACGTCCCACAGGCTTCGGCTGACCCCTCTCGGAAAGCGGTACGAGATGGCATCGTCGCCGTCAAAATAGAGTATGTCGGACTCTGCGCGAAGGACCGGAGGTGAGCCGGGGAGCGGGACACTCGCAGTCGCCCGGTCTCCCTCCGGACCCTCCCTCCCGACTCTCACTGTAAGGGCAGCCGTAGATGCCCAGGCGTAGGCCGGCCTTGCCGCGCGGGTTCCAGGCCAGGGGCACGATGCGGATGTAGCGCGCCGTGAAGTGGAAGTGGAGGTCGTGGCGCACCACCGCGGACTCATTCACGTTCCCGAAGAAGGTCTGTGGGAGTTGGGCAAAGTAGTAACCACATCCCCCACCTTATGCTCCAGGCCCAGTCCTTGGCTTTCCCACTTTGCCAATCTTGACTGGCGGTGGGGGTGGGGACAGACACTCCTTGCTGTCCCCTGTCTAGGGCCTGTACACCCACCATTTCCCTAGCCCTAGAGTGCCCTTTTCCCACCAGGCGATGCAGAGCTCAAATCAAATGTCACCTCCTGGAAGCTCTCACAGATTTCATCCTGAAGTGGAATTATAAACCCTGTGATCTGAAAGTGTCTTGCCCACGTGGTGTGCTGACCAGTCCTTCTGGACTTAATCCCAGGAGTGGAGTCATGGCTCCTCACTTAGGCGTTCACTACTGCCTCCTCCCCTTCTTTTCAGGCTAGTGCCCAACCCAGGGCCCAGAACAGAAGGGGCTCCCCTGTGTGTATGTGCGCCTGAGCAGTGCCCCGAGTACCGCGTTGTGCCCTTGCTGGTAGAATGGCGTCCAGCTGTCCACACGGTCACCATAGAGCAGCATGTAACGTGTGACCCAGTCCCAAGAATTAAAGGAGCCCTGAGTGGCCACAGCTCGGATTCGGTGCCTCTTCATTAAGTCGATCTGGAGCCAGGGATTCGGGTCCCCAATCCGGGGTGACCATCCACTTATGCCTGTAGAAGAGGCAAGGGTTTTTGTTGTTGTTTGTTTTACCACCCTCCCCGCAGCCCTCCGGAGTCCTCCACCCCATCTATTTTCAGCATGCTCACCGTGCAAGCGGGCAAAGCGGGCCGTGGTAAAGAGACTGTAGTAGGAGGAAGCACCCAGGGAGCGGGCAAACAGAGGTCCCACAAGCTCCTCGTCGCAGCCATCTAGGGTGAAGAAACGAACCTGTTAGGGTGGCTTGTCCACTTCCAAAGGCCAGGCCCACTGAGAGGCGGCAGCTCTTCTTCTCTGCCCCCCTGTGGCAGACCTTAAAGCCATCCACTGAGCCTGGGCTGCAGCGACAGCTGCTGTCTCTTCCCTCCTGGGGGAAATTCTTAAGCTAGAACTATGGGTCCAATGCCAGACCCATCCTATCCCAGAGCCTACCCAGATTGAGTACTCCCCCAAAGACAATCCCCAAAGTCAGCGTCTTTCAGAGCCTAACTCAATCCAAAACACCAATGCAGCCACAGTCTTGGTGTCACTCTCAATCATCACTCTCCTCCCCAAGTCTGTACCAATCCCAAATCCAGGTCTTGCTCCCAACCCAGCCACCTCCCAATCCCAGTTCTTACACCATGACCAGCTCCAGCCAGCTTCAGACTCAGTCAGGGTCACCAACTCCTGTTTGTAACCTAGCCATAAAACCCAGCCCCAGCCACAAACCCTAGCCCACCGACCAGCTCCAAAGCCTAGTCCCAGCCCCTGGCCAAAACCTTAACCCGTTTTACCAGTACCACACCTCTGCCCAACCCTAACCTGAAACCCCGACACCCTGCGCCCTCTTGGATTACTACCCCAAATCCTGTCTGGGCTGACCCCATCCTCGGCTTCGAGCCCAGCCCCAGCCCCAGTCCCAGGCGCGCGCAGCTGTCTCGGAGCTGCATTGCGGAGCGCGGGGGAGAGGCAGGAAAAGATGGGAGCGAGCGGCCGCGCGCGCCGGCTGGGAAAGACCGGCGACCACCCAGCCGCAATGCGGTGCGGGACCCGCCCTTCAGGCTCTGGAATCCGGGGCCCAACCCCACCTGCCTCGGACCCCAGCACTCACAGTAGCCCCAGCCCCGAGCTCCTGAGACCGCAGCAGCAAGCAAGATGCAGAAGAGCCCGAGGTGCATCCTGCAGGGCTGACCAGCCCCCGGGAGACTGCCTCCTGGTGCCCGGCTCTGGCTAGCGATCCAGTTCTGGCTCAGGCTGCCAGCTCCCCTCCTGGGGTTCGCAGCTGACCGCTGTCTCTTCTCCTTGCCCACTCCTCCTTTTTTCCACCCTCTGCTAACCTTCTCTCTCTCTCTCTCTCCCTCTATCTCTCTCTCCTTCCTTCTCTCTCCCCCCCTCTGGGTCTTGCTTCCAGCTTGCTTGCTTGCTCGCTCTCCTTTCCACCCTCTCTCCTCTCACCTCCCCCCTTCCCCAGCCTCTCTCCTGGCACGCGCGCGTTTTCCCAGAACCCGCGCAAGCGCGTGGCTCAGCCCTGCTGTGACAGTGTGGGAGCTCAGAACCTCCAGCCACTGGGAAACACCCCAGGTAAAGGAGTAACGGAGAGCTGGCAGGGACTGGTGCCTCAAGGTTGGCCAAAAAAAAAAAAAAGGCAATAAAAGAGAAGGATCCTGAAAGAAAAAAAAAAATCAAAGAAAGGGGCGGGAAGAAAGCGGGATGCTTAAAGATGGAATGAAGAGTAAGTAAGAGAACGTTTTCCTAAAGGCAGATAATGCTCCGGGCTTGGTGCTGGGAACTTAACACTGGAAATTCCATATTTTCACCTTACTTCACTTTTGCAATGAAAGACCTGAGACTCAGAGAGGTTAAAGAACTTATTCAAGATCACACAGCTAGCTTGCAACCATGATATCCCAAAAGCCATTATTTTCACACTAGCAGAGTAAAGAAAAAAATGTTTAGGTAAAGTGGAATGGAAAAATGAGCCAGCAGACCCTAATACCTACCGCCCTCTCAGCCCCTCTCCCCGCCCCTTCCTTCCTGTCTCACTAGTTATTTAATTCTACCCACCCCCGCCCCCTGTGACTATGCTTCAGAAACTCTTGTAGCCAGAGATGGGGACGGAGCCCACAGAGCAGGTGGGAGTGGGGGCAGGGAGGGGGAGAAGGGTTACAGAGAGGGTGTGGTCGGGGGAGGGATGGGATTCTCCACCTGGCAACAGGCCTCTGCCATCCTGTGATCTATGCAGAGACCTTCCCTTAGCATGAATGATTCAGGAGAGGTGGGGTGGGAGCAGAGAAGGGGAAGGAGACCAAAACCCACACCCTGGAAGTCCAGAGTCCAGGTCTGAGGCAAAATCTGCATCGGACCATCCTTCCAGAAGAGGGCGCTGCAAAGGGAACAGAAGCGCCGTGATTTATGAATAATACAAACGCTTAGTTTATGGAGAGCTAGATACTTCACATCCATTATCTTTCCTTTTTCAAACAATCCACAAGCTTTTCTTAGGTAGGCTGGACAAGACATCTGGTTTGGGCATTGCATATTAGGAAATGGAGGTTGAGAAAGACCAAGTGTCTTGCTCAAGGTCACCCAGGAAAACTGGAAGCAGGGATGCAAGAAAAACCAAGGCCTGTTCACCAAGAGCTAGGAAAAGTCTAAAGGGAGTTTATCTTTTTCTGGTGTAGTTATCCTTGGTCTCTCTCTCTCTCTCTCTCTCACACACACACCCCTGTGTGGAAGATATTGCGTGGGAAATGGGAGTGTCACGGGAAGATGTTTCATACAGTCTTCCCTCCTCTCATTTTGACCTCCCCAGGTTTCCTGGGGCCCCTACTCTGGGTTTGACGAGGAGGAGGAGGTGTATTCAGCTGAGCCATTGCCCGAGATCTGCTACAAGGCGGATGTCCAGGCCTTCAGTCGTGCTTTCCAACCCAGTGTCTCCCTGACGGTGGCTGCTCTTGGTCTGGCCGGCAATGGTCTGGTCCTGGCCACCCATCTGGCGGCCCGCCGCACTGCTCGCTCGTCCACCTCCGCCCACCTGCTCCAGCTGGCTCTGGCCGACCTCCTCTTAGCCCTGACCCTGCCCTTCGCTGCAGTGGGAGCTCTTCAGGGCTGGAGTCTGGGAAGTGCCACCTGCCGGGCCGTCTCTGGCCTCTACTCGGCCTCCTTCCACGCAGGCTTCCTTTTCCTGGCCTGTATCAGCGCAGATCGCTACGTGGCCATCGCGCGGGCGCTGCCAGCCGGGCGGCGGCCTTCCACGCCAGGCCGTGCACACTTGGTCTCGGTCATCGTGTGGCTGCTGTCACTGCTCCTGGCGCTCCCTGCGCTTCTCTTCAGTCGGGATGGTCGCCGGGAAGGCCAGCGGCGCTGTCGCCTCGTCTTCCCCGAAGGCCTCACGCAGATGGTGAAGGGGGCAAGCGCGGTGGCGCAGGTGGTGCTGGGCTTCGCGCTGCCCCTGATCGTCATGGCAGTCTGTTACGCGCTCCTGGGCCGCACGCTGCTGGCCGCCAGGGGGCCCGAGCGCCGGCGGGCGCTGCGTGTGGTGGTGGCCCTGGTGGCGGCCTTCGTGGTGCTGCAGCTGCCCTACAGCCTCGCCCTGCTGCTGGATACAGCCGATCTGCTGACTGCCCGCGAGCGGAGCTGCCCTGCCAGCAAGCGCAAGGATCTGGCACTGCTGGTCACCGGCGGCTTGGCGCTGGCGCGCTGCGGCCTCAATCCCGTGCTCTATGCCTTTCTGGGCCTGCGCTTCCGCCAGGACCTGCGCAGGCTGTTAAGGGGTGGGGGCTGCAGCCCAAGGCCTCAGCTTCGCAGCCGCTGTCCCCGCCGGCCCCGCCTCTCTTCCTGCTCCGCTCCCACCGAGACCCACAGTCTCTCCTGGGACAGCTAAGGAGGCTACAGATCCAGAGGCGGGGGAGGGGGGTGGGGGAGGGCTAAGCGGGTAAGGAGAGTCGGTGGGGGGGAAAGAGGTCAGGATCTACCGGGAGGATGACTTCTGTGCTTTGCCATATTAAAGTGATAACAAGGAAATGAGATGCAACCCCAAACAACTGTTACTATTTTTGAATCCCAGACTTGGAAGCAATTTGTAGCAGGGCTGAGACAGTGGGTTACACCCCGCCCCCACCCCGCGGTTGGGTCTGAGTGGGAGGCAGGAGGGGGCCTGCTGAGTCTGCTAAAGCTTTGGGCACTGACACTCCCTCCAATTTCACTCAGTCTCTGCCAAGAGAGGTGAGGTGGGAAAGCTGCCAGGCTAGGAGGGGCGGGGGTTCCTCTCGAAATAGCGTAAGGCAGGGCTTTCTAACAACCAAGGTGCTATCCAGTAATGGCTGCCTTAGCAAGTACCGGGTTCCTGGTCTCCGGTATGTGCAGGACTGTGTGTGCCTGAGCCTCAAGTAGAGGTAGGCGCCACGGTGGGTGTTCTCATTTGGGGTAGGTGTTTGGATCAGATTAGCCCTTTACAATTCCTTCCAAAGTTCTGTGATGGAAAGGGGGAAAAATGAGTTTGTCATGGGACTGGTGCATGTTTGTAATCACAGGACTGGGAAAACTGAGGCCCGAGTTCAAGGCCAGCATAGGTTGGTTACATAGCAAGAGGCTATTTTGGAGTGGAAAAGAGAGAGGAAGAAAGAATGGAAGAGACAGAGAAAGGAAAGGGAGAGAGGAAAGGAAGGAAGGAAAGGAAAGAAGACAAAGGTTTTTCACCTGTGGGGGGAGCAAGGAGGGAATTGTATTTGCAGACTTCTAAAAAGGAGTTATCCTAGGCATGGGTAGGAATGCTTGGTCTTCTCTATCTCCCCTGGGGGGCCACCAGGTCATGAGGAAATGCACTGAGCTGCCCAGGAAAGAGGGAAGAGGTTAGACATTGGAAAGAACTACTTTGAAAGCTTAAGGCTTTCCTAGGAAATCTTAGTTCAGGCCACTTTCATCTGGGGCGAAGGCCGGATGGCCTCTAGAGATGGTGGCATTGATGGGTCATTGTGTTGTACAATCACAACAAGCAGGATGGTGTTCACGTGCGATAATTCTTGAAGTTTAACATCCGGTCAGCAAAGCTGTACCCACGGCCCCAGCCTGAAGTCTTGAGGGTGAAAAGGGCGGGGCCGAGAGAGGAGGTCTCCAGGGAGGTGCTGGCCCCAAGTCCCCGCCCCGTCCTGCCCCGCCCAGATGGGCTCGCAGTCCTTCCAAGAACCTCAGACGGCAGAGACAGAAAGCCTCGGCCTCTAAGGCCCACGATCCAGGAGAGGCTCAGAAAGAGCTTCGAATCTCAAAAGGGGTGCCGCACGCCAGCCCTCGGGGAGGGGGGCTAACCTGGAACCCTCCACCGGTGACCGCGGGAATCGCCGCTGAGTCAGCAACGCGCGCGCCCGAGCCCGCTGTCTCCGGCTGTCGCCCCAGCCCCGCCCTGGACGCCCAGTGCCCCGTTTAACCCCTTCCTGTTCGTCACAGAATTCCTGAGGATACCAAGCCAGTCTCCCTAGTGGAGCCCAGGAAGCTGTGAGCTCTAGATGGGATCTAATTTCCATACTAGGGAGTCCCTGCCTCGGCTTCTTCACTTCACAGATATGGTGACTCCAAAGCCTTCCGTAGAGCTGGGTCAGCTTAGTTTCTCCCCGCCCCCAGTAACTGAGGCTCATCCCATCCTCAGGGACCCCCCCCCCCCAAAGCTGGACAGGAGATCCGAGGGCAGCAAGCGAGCCTCCCTCCAGCCCAGTGCCATTTGCTGCCCCGAACTCCTTCTCAAGAGGGTTTTACAGTCGGTGAGCCAAGAGTTAAAACAGGGCACGGAAGGCGGGCTTCCGTGACGTCGCTGGCACCTCGCGTCCGACCTCGGGCTGGGGGCGTGGTTAGCGTCGCCCCGCCCCCTCCCTCTAGCTCCCCCCCCCGCCCCTCCTCGCTGTCACCCAGCCAGGAGCACGTGATGCAACCCGCCGCGGCTTCCTGCTTCTGATTGGTGGCCGCGCCCGGCGCCCGGCATAGGGATTGGGAGATGGAGGTTGTGACGAAACTGGATCCTGCCTTGTAAAGAAGGGAGGAGAGAAAGAAGAGGGAAGGGAGGGGGGGGGTGCCTCGCAGGGGGAGGGGGCTGGGGAGGCGGGGTCCAGGAGCTGAGCTCGCGGCCCCAGCGCGCCAGTCCCGGGGCTGCAGGGAGCGCAGCGCGCGCCGCCCGGGCCCCGGCCACCGGACGCCCTACCGGACACGACCCTCCCTGGAGCTTGGACAACTGCCCACCTCGGACACTGCACCGGACACTGCCCCCCACGGGGCTGGACACTACAACGGACACTACTTCCCCGCTCCGGACATTGCTCTCTGCCAACTCCCCCCCCCCCATACGCTTGCCCCCATCCCCCTTCGCGGACCCAGACAGTGAGCCCCTCGCAGGCTCTCGCTAGTCCTCCGAGCACTTCAGCGCTGGACATTGCCTCCCCCCTGCTCCCCTTTCCCTTGTCCTCCCCCCCCCCCCCATTTCCCCCGCACTGGTCTGAGCCCCGCGGGTTTCTCCGATCCCCTGCTGTTTGGCCCGGGGCGGGGGGGGTGCCCGCGCCCCCGTCCCCCGGCTGCGGGTCCGGATGCCTCTCCCCGGGGGACTGTGGTGGCTCCTCTGCTGCCGTCGAGGCTTCACTCTTCTGCACCGGGACTACGGGGACGGCGAGCTTAGCGGGGACGGGGACGAAGACGAGGACGAGGAGACCTTTGAGCTACGGACCCCGAGTCCAGCGGGCGGCGGGAGGGTAAGTCTTGGGGGGATCTGGAGCCTTGGCTCAGCCCCTCTCACTGCGAACGGCCGTCACACACCGATCCGGTTCGACTCCTGCCAAAAGCCGCGCTCTTGGAGAACGGGGGAATGTCGCGGGGAGACTCCAGCCGGGAGGCCAGAGCCCCTGGGAGCTCTAGGAACAGCCCTACCCGGGATGTGCCTCTGGGCCTCGCGCCGCACACTGGGCGCTGTCCACCTGCTGGGAGCCCTGAGGCAGAGGAGGCGTCACGCGTGGCCCGACCTGGCCCTGCCTCTCCCTTCCCCGCCGGGCCCGCGTCCCATCCCGTCTCCTTCCGCCTCCGCCAGCGCCAAGGAATGTGGCGAGGCCGGCTGGGCGGCTCGAACGCCTGGGTCCACTCGGCTCCCAGTTCGTGAGTTCTGGGGGACAGATGCGGGAACTGCCACCGCGGGGACCTGGGCGAGGGGGAAAAGGCATCGGAGCTTTGGGATCCGAGGCGGGGACCCCACGGAGAGGGAGCCTGGGGCTATGGTTCTTTGAAGACTTCTGCTTATCCCGCCAGTCAGAACCGAACGCTCAGCCTTCCCTGGTGAGGCTTCTGGAAAACCCTTTGGGGCGGGGGGGGGGGGGGGGGGGGACAGTGGTTCGTGAGGATCACTTGGCTTTGGGCTTTTGTCAGATCTCCCTGTGGGGAAACCGAGGCATGGTTGGTTATAGAAGCACCTCGAGTCCCTGATGCGACTTCTCATACCCGGGCAACTAGACACCCGTGTGCTGTGACCTGGGTCCGGTCCCCATCCCCCCCGTTTAGGGGTCCCCAGCAGGCTCGGTGGCTCAGTGCCCGGGTGGGGCAGGCTGCTCTGCCGGGCCGGCGCCAGCACCTGGCGAGGCAGAGGGCAGATAAATATAGAGAGAAGGAGGAGGGAAGCCGAGGACTGCGACTAGGGGGGTCGGCCTGAGAGAGGGGCAGTACCCCCTCCCCCGTGGAGGTGTGGCGAATGGATTGCGCTGCTCCCAAAGAAAGTCCTTGGACCTAGGCTGTTCCCTAGCATCCAGCCTGGGCTGGGTCGGCTCTGTCAACCACGCCATTACCACCCTCAGACGCTCCACCTCCACCACCACCCCTCCCCGGAGCTCCCAGGGACAGGTGTCCCTGCTCCCCCTGCTCCCTCCCCAATCCTGGCTCAAGCAGTCTGGGCACATTGGGACCATGGCACAATTCCTGCCTGGCTTGGCTTTAGGTTGGATTTAAGGCCTCTCTCTCAAACCCCAGGCTACTACAGTTGGAGGTTCCAGGGCAGGGACTGTGGGTGAGCTGTGGGTGAGAAACAGGCAAAATTCCTAACTACACCTGCTCACACCTGAGTCTCAGAGGTATCTGTGAGGGGACATATAAAGCTCTTGGAGAAAGCCCTATACTAAAAAGGTCCTTCTTCCCCTCATTTATCTCTGTGCCACCCACCATCTGCCCTCCTCTGGCCAGAAAGGTGGAGCAGGTGAAGAAAAAATGAGGAGGGAGTGATTTCCAGGCTATCACAGCAAGAAGGGACTTTGTCACCTCTTCTGTTCCAAAGATGGGGAAACTAAGGCCCAAAGATGGGAGTTGGGCCAGGTTCCGCAGTGAGTTAGTGGTCCAGCTCTACTGAGTCCCGGCCCCATGCTCTTTCTATCCCATCCCACCCCTGATGACATCTTCAAAGGGGAATGGAGACCAAGCAGCAGCTTTGACTTGTTAACTCGAGGCTTTTTAAAGAGTGGTTCTTTTGCCCAGTCACTACGCCACTCCTTGCATCTCCTGAGCAGCACTGTCTGAGGTGCAGAGGCCACAGGCATTGCTCAGGGAGGACTTCTGCTGATCATTTCTTGCCTGTCTCTCCAGGGTCCCCTGGACGTGACACTAACTCAGCCAGTGAGGAGCGGACAGGTCTCAGACAGGTAAGCCTCGCCTTGGCCATACTCTTCTGTAGTTCTGAGACCCCAGCAGGTTCCCAGGACGTCCATCCTCGCCATTTTCCCTAGTGGGTTGTGCAATAAAAGGGAGAGGCCCTATGTGCTGCCTGCCGGACGCTGCGGTTTTGGCAGGGGTCCCAGGGGGGCGGTCCAGCCGGGGGCGTGGGGAGGAAGGAGGGGTCCAAGGCTATTTCTGGTGCAAGGTCAGAACGGCCCTGTGGTTCCCACAGCTGGAGGATGGGTGCCTAGCTTGGGAGCAGGCACCCCTGGCTATCAGGAGAGCCCCTACTGAAAGAAGCCCCCTGGAGGCTGAGCAGAGGCTCAGCAGCCTTGCTCAACTCTCTTTCTCTGGTCCAGGCTGCAGAGCTGGGAAGAAACCTGGAGTCTCATCCCAGAAAAGGGGTTGCTGGAGGATGACCCCGACGTGGTTGTGAAAGGTGGGGACTGCCCTCAACGTGTCCCAGGGGGCTGGCAGTCTTAGCCCCCCTCCCCCCCCCAGGATCCTCCAGTAGATGCTCCTTCTTTTCCTTTCCTCCCAGGTTGGCTGTACCGGGAACCCCGTGGAGGAGGGGCTCGGCCATGGTTACCCCCTCGCCGAGCCTGGTTTGTGCTCACCCGAGACTCCCTGGACCAGTTTAGCAGCAGCGGGAAGGGAGCAAGGCACCTTGGGAGTCTCGTGCTCACCAGCCTGTGCTCAGTGACTGGACCTGAGCGTAGGCCCAAGGAAACCGGTGAGATCTCTTGGGAACTGCCCTACCTTGCTGGCAGGGGTCCCAACTAGCACTGATTGCCCTGAGGGTGGGTCTTCTCTTTCCACCAGGTCTGTGGTCAGTGACTGTGTCTGGCCGGAAACACAGCATCCGCCTCTGCTCCCCACGCCAGGCAGAGGCAGAGCGCTGGGGGGTGGCACTGCGTGAAGTAATTGCCTCTAAGGCCCCACTAGAGACCCCTACCCAGCTACTGCTCAGGGACATACAGGTGAGAGAGAGGGGAATCCAGTGAGACCTAAGAGATGGTGGGCCCAAAGGCTCTCTGAGCTCTTGAAGAGCTCTCTTTCCCCCATCAAGGTGACTCTCTTCCTGGCCTCTAGGAGAGTTGTGGGGATCCAGAAGCAGTGGCCCTCATCTACCTGAGGAACCCTATTCTGAGGCATACCAGTGGAGCCTTGTATGCCCCCCTCCTGCCTCTGCCCTACGAGGTCAGCGCCCCAGGTAAGTGGACTACTGGCCCAAATTCAATGAATGGGATGGGGTGGACCAGAGGTAAGGGTCTGAATTACTTAACTGGCAGGGAATTAAGAGTCTTTAAGGGCTCTTGAAGGTGAAACTTGGGGCTGGTCAAGGTGCAGGGAAAGGAGATCAGCACAGAAAAGAAAGGGCCCATTGTGACCACGTTCTCCAAGGGTCTCATTCTGACCACTGATGTTCCTCCAGGGGGTGTTTATACTGTCTTCTATTTTTGTTTTTCCTGACTGCATTTTAAAATTTTTCTTTTTACATTTTTATTAGCATCAATTAGTTGTATAAGGAGAGTTACAGTTTGTCAAGTCCATAGATACATACAATGCACCTTGGTTAGATCCCCTCCCTACACCACTCTCCTTCCTCCCCCATCCACTACTCACTTAAGACCTTGTCGTATTACCTTTACAACTGGTGGGAAAGCCATCACTTGGGGAGAAATGTGCTGGTCTTTACCAGCTATCTAGCTCAATATACTGTAGTGACCAGCTCAAGTACTATGGGTTTAAAGAGGACTAGAAAGAACCCTGGTTTTCCGATGCCCAGACTAGCCCATTTTTTTGGCCCACATTGGTGGCTCCCAGTACCCAGTTACAGAATCTGGAATTTGAACCTAGGTCCCTTAGTCATTCCCTCTACCTTACTAACTCAAAGTCCAGGCTTAGCAGGATAGGGAGAGGGTGCTCTTGCTTGGAAGGCAAGGGTTGAGTTTGGTTCTGTGGGACCATTGCTTTCCCTCCGTTCTTCCTGTCCTTCATACCTTCCTTTCCTTGCCATCCCTTGTCCCCTTATTCCCTTCTGACCTTCTCCTGGTTCTTGCATTCCTCCCAGGGCGCAGCTCTGTGTCCCCTCTCCAAACCGTCCCTCCTCCCCCACCCTCCGGCAGGTCCAGGTTACGCATCCCTGCGGGAGGAGGCTGTGCGGCTGTTCCTGGCACTGCAGGCACTGGAGGGGGCACGACGCCCTGGGCCCCTGATGCAGGGTGTGCTCCAAACCTGCCGGGACCTGCCTGCACTTCGGGATGAACTCTTCCTGCAGCTGGCTAAGCAGACCTCAGGCCCTGCAGGTCCTCCTGGGCTCCCTGCTACCCAAGATCCTGCAACCCTGCGGTACTGGCAGCTTCTCACTTGTATGAGCTGCACTTTCAGACCTGGAGGAGCCGTAAGAGGCCATCTCCTGGGACATTTGGAGAGGTGAGAGGGGAGAGGCAGGTATAAGACCACAGCCCAAAAAGAGATGGGAGAGACGTGCAGGCTTTTGTAAAGAGTTTAGCAAATGGTGAAATCTAGGTCCAGAGAAGAGAAAGGACATGCCCAAGATCAGAACTGGTGTTAATATATGCTGTGCTACTGTGGGAATGACAAAGTTATATGCCATGTGTGAGCAGATGAAGCAAATGAGGTGCTCCTTTAGAGCAGAGGAGATACTGAAAGGTTGTTTGGTTCTGGGTGATGCAGACCAGCTTCAGGACTGGAGAATGTGATAAAGTGGTTCCACTTCCGTTTTCAGTAAGGAGAAAGATCACTGGAGTGTTGGAAGTGGGTGAGGCAGTTGGGAGAGAACTTCTAGAAACCCGGGAAAGTAATTCAGCTCCATTGAAAGCTCAAGGAGCTTGAGTTGGAAGGGAGGAAACCTGATGAAATAAAATACTTTTTTTTTGTGATGCTGGGACATGGAACGTAAGGCATAATGCATGCTAATAAGCAAGCTCTGGCCAGAAGAAATAAACTATAATGCAAGACGGTGAGAGGAAGAGGAAAAGGAAGGAAAAGGAAGCCTTAAGCCCTGATCCTTGGATTCCTAACTCAGGACTGAGCAGGCTCTCCCAGACTCAGAGCTGGCGGAATATGCGCGCTTCATCCGGAAAGCGCTGAGCCGGACCAGGGGCCGAGAGCTGGTGCCATCGCTGGCAGAGATTTCCGCACTGAGCCGACGGCAGGAACTGTTGTGCACGGTGCACTGTCCCGGGGCTGGCGCCTGCCCCGTGACCATCAATTCTCACACCACAGTCGGGGAGGTGAGACCAGAGAAAGGCTCCCCCTTCCCCCATCCGCCCTTCCAGCTACTCACGAAGTTTGTCCCTAGTCTCAGAATCCTTATTTCAGTAAGGGAGGGAATGGTAGTGATAGGACTAAGAGCCCCTAGTGACTGGGCCAGCCCTTCCCAGGCAGACGTGTGGGCGGTCTGACTTTCCGCATCCCCTTCCCCTTTGCTCTAGGTGGCTCAAGAACTAGTGGGGCGGCTGGGTTTGGCCCGGAGTCGAAATGCATTCGCGTTGTATGAGCAGCGAGGAGCCCAGGAACGAGCCCTGGCTGGGGGAACCCTCGTGGCCGACGTTCTCACCAGGTTTGAGAAGTAAATGTCCAGCCCCAGCCCATCTACGTCTCAGCTTCCATCGCTAACCTTTACCCAGCGCAAGCCACTGGTCACTGACCTACCGACCGACGCCCTCCCCACCTGCGGGTGGCGTGTGGTTGGACCGCGGGGTCGCAGGTCGGCAAACGCTCCGCCGGCCCCGCCCCCGAGCGCGTGGCCACGCCCCCTCGGGCCACGCCCCCCTTCCCACGCTGCGGGAGCCGGGCGGACTGGGGCTGCCCTAGCAGCGGGTCTTCTCCTCTTCCACAGTTCGGCCTCCGAGGAGATCGGAGTGGAAGACTCCCCCGACTCGGGGTGGAGACTGTGCCTACGTCTCCACGGACCTCTGCACCCCGAAGGGCTGTCCCCAGATAGCCATGAATTGCCTTTCCTCTTTGAGCAGGTGAGGGACCTCCCACCCCCGAGCCCCCACCCCGAACCTCCCCGACAAGCGGAAACCCGCCTTCCCGGGGCCACCTCGTTTTGTTTTGCACCAGTTTTGGTTGCCCCGACCTGCAGCGTCCTCCGATCCCCACCAGCCCGACGCCGCTCGGGGCTGACGCGAGGTGTCTCCCCTGCAGGCCCACGCTCTGCTGCTGCGCGGCCGGCCACCCCCGCCCGACGACACGCTGAGCGCCCTGGCGGCGCTGCGCCTGCAGAGCTTGCACCGGGACTTCTCCCCGCGGGCGCCCCTGCCGCGACTGGACCGCCTGCTGCCGCCCCCCGCCCCGCCGCGCGAGGACCCGCCCCGCCCAGCCCCCAGGCCGCCACCCTCCGCCGCCCTGCTGGCCGGGGCCCTGTGGAGCCCCGGTCAGGCTAAGAGGCGGGCCGAGCGGGCCCGGCGCTCTGGGGCCAACCGAACGGCGGCGGGAAGCGCGGGCCGAGAGGGAGGCGGCGGTGCCGGCACGGCAGCTGCGGTGCTGGGCAGCTGGAAACGGCTACGGGGCATGGGCCGAGCTGAGGCCATGGCTGCCTACTTGGCTCTGGCGGCGCAGTGTCCGGGTTTTGGCGCTGCTCGGTATGACGTTCTGGAGCTGAGCACGGTGAGGGGGAGAAGGGAGAAGGGAACTCTGGTGGCCCAAGCCCTACACCTTTGCCCCAGAGCCACAGGGCCCCAGCGGGGGTCACTTCATTCCCTACATCGAACACACCTGCCCATTCCAAATGCCCGGAGTCACCAACCCTGGAGTCTGCACTTCCCCAGGAGTCTTAGCCCGTTCCATGGCACGAGCTGTGAATCACAGGGGCGTCAGGAAGTTCCCTGCTCATTGTGATCTCCCTCTACCAAAAGTAATGCTGCGGGATCCCCTCTTTCACCCCTGACTCTGCCGATCTGTCTGCAGGAGCCTGGTGGAGGTACTCCACAGAAGCTATGCCTGGGCCTGGGAGCCAAGACCATGTCCCTCTCCCGGCCTGGTGAGACAGAGCCCATCCACAGCGTCAGTTATGGCCATGTGGCCGCCTGCCAGCTAACAGGCCCCCACACTCTGGCATTGCGGGTGGGTGAGAGCCAGCTCCTCCTGCAGAGTCCCCAGGTGAGTGGAAAGAGGCTGTGGAAGGAGGAAGGAAGTCAAGAAACATTTGCTAAACATCTGCTCTGCATACCCAGCTATAGGCACTGGGCTTCCAGCAGCAATCAAAGACAAGCTCCAGAGCTTATGTTTCAGTAGGAGGGAATTAGACGATAAGGAATCAAAGACTAAGATAGAGATAAATGCTACCAAGGAAAGTAATGTAGCAAGAAGTGACTGAAGGATTTTCAGGGAGGTTTAATTCTGTGTGTGCTGGTACTGGGGCTTGAACTCAGGGTCTGGGAACTGTCCTTTACATTTTTGCTCAAGGGTGATGTACTACCACTTGAACCACAGCTCCACGTCCAGCTTTTTAGAGGCTAATTGGAGCTAAGAGTCTTAAGGACTTTTCCTGCCTAACCTAGCTTTGATCCATGATTCTCAGTCTCCTGAAAAGCATGAGCCACCAACAGCTGAATTTCTCTCCCCTTCCCCTCTTACTTTTTTTTTGGGGGGGGTGGGTCCAGTTGTGGGGCCTGAACTCTGGGCCTGGGCACTATCCCTCAGCTCTGCAGCTCAAGGCTAGGGCTCTACCACTTGAGCCACAGCACCACTTCCAGCTTTTTCTGCTTATGTGGTGCTGAGGAATCGAACCCAGGGCCTCATGCATGCAAGGCTCTACCACTGAGCCACCTTCCCAGCCCCATCTTTCTTTCTTTCTTTCTTTCTTTTTTTCTTCCTTCCTTTCTTTTCTTTTCTCTTCTTTTTTTTTTTTCTTTTTTGTCGGTTGGGGGGCTTGAACTCTGGGCCTGGGTGCTGTCCCTCAGCTCTTCAGCTCAAGGCTAGCACTTGACCACTTGAACCACAGCACCACTTCCAGCTTTCTGAGTGGTTTATTGGAGATAAGAGTCTCATGGACTTTCCTGCCAGAGGCTGGCTTTGAACTTCGATCCTCAGATTTCAGCCTCCTGAGTAGTTAGGATTACAGGGATGAGCCACCAGGGCCCGGCTTCTCTCTCTCTCTCCCTGTCTCTGTCTCTCTGTCTGTCTCTGTCTCTGTCTGTCTCTCTTTCTCTCTTTTAACAAGGTCTTGCTATGTATCCCAGGCTAGCCTTCAACTCTAGATCCACCTGCCTCCATCTGAGTGCTAGGAGTGTGTGCCACCATGCCTGTCTATAGAGGGTAGCACTTAAGCTAGCCATGGGAAGATGAGGGAACAGTATTCCAGGTAAAGGAAATTGCAAGTACAAAGGCTCAGAGAAGAGCAAGGTTGGCATGTTAGGGGAGCAACAGAATTTAAGAATTACTGGCACACAATGCATGAAGGAGAGTGGGGATGAGGAAAGGAAGTTGTCAGGACCAGAGCATGCAGAGCAGTGGTAGAAAAGCTGGAGCCCTAGGGCCTGAAGGAGAAGAAAAAGAAGAGAACCTAGTGGCCTCTGTTCCACACTGACCCTTGCCCTCTCTTAGGTGGAAGAAATCATGCATCTGGTGAATGCCTATTTGGCCAACCCTTACCCAGAGAAGCCCTGCAGCATCTCTGCTCCTCCATGCCAAGACCTGCCAGACACCTCCCCTCCCAGTCAGCACCAAGGCCTGGACAAGTCCCAGGGACAGTCTGGCTGCTTGGGGCAGCTGCAGGACTGAGCTTGCCAAAAAGGTCACGACTTCTCCTGCCTGCAGCCTGGGCCAGGACTGCTCTCAGACTTGAGGAAACCATGGACCCTTTCGGCCCTGCAGGGACAGGGCACGCCTACACCCAAGAGCTGCAATGGGTGTGGGCAATTTTCTAGTTTGTTTCTTAATTTATTTGTAGAAGAGAAAAGCAAAAAAATCCTTATTTACACAAACCCTTCCTGTGGAAGAGTAGTCAGTGGGACAAGTTGGAGCTCCCTTGCTCAGGGCCCGCCCCTGAGGACGCCTACACTCTGGGTTTGCACCAGGTCTTGAAGAGATTCTGGACACCACAGAGTGCCACCCTCTTTAACCTTCTGTATTTAACCTCCTCCTCGCCATATCCTGCTATAAGATGGTGGGTGGGGCAGGCAAGTAGGCTGTATGGGAAGCTGGGAGTTACTCACCCTCTGGTCCCTGTTCAGTGGCATGGGGGTGGCCTCCTGACATCAATGAGCCTGGACAGCAGTGAGTCATTAGGCGTGGCACTGCCCATTTCTTCCTCTGGTGTCAGCTTCTGGGCCCTGTTCGGGTCCATTTTTGGTTGCCTACTACTTAGAGACTGAAATGAATAGAAGCTTGGGGGCAGAGAGCAGCCATAAGAACTTTTTTTTTTTTGGCATGGAAAATTAGCTCAGGTGAGGACTCAATCTACTCCTGAGCTCTGTTTCTGCTTGTCAGGGTTGGTTGAACAAGCTTGAAATTCCTGACTGAAAGGCCCTGAGCACTGGGAATCTAGAATTCTAGTTTTTCAGATTGGGGCAGAATTTAGTGGCTCTAAATGCTAAGACACCACGTCTCTGCCCTAAGTAGAGGAGGCTAGGGCAGCTAGGCCCATTGAGGGGCAAGGGCTTAGGCACTGAGGAGACAGCAGACATCACAAAACCCAATATACGAGATTTATTTATTTTTAATTAATTTATTTGTGTGTATGCACCAGTATGGGGGCTTAAACTCAGAACCTGAGCATTGTCCCTGAGCTCTTTCACTCAAGGCTGGCAATCTGCCACTCAAGCCACACTTCTACTTCCAGCTTTTTGGTGGTTAATTGGAGATAAGAATCTTCTGGCTTTATCTCCCCTGATTAGCTTTGAACTGGGATCCTCAGATCTCAGCCTCCTGAGTAGCTGGGATTACAGATGTGAGCTACCTGTTGGTAACTCCTCTATGCCCTTGAAAGAAGAGCTAACCCTACTAAAAGAACCTACTTCAAAGAAAGAGATGACAGTGATAAGTAATTAGTGAGTGACACACTAATACTTGGGACTAAAGGGTAAGAAGCAGGTAAAGGCTACCTTACCATTACATGCTTGGAAACCTCCCACTCACAGACCAAGCCTTCCAGATATTTACTACTCAGCTTTATTACTTTATTAGAACTGAATGAGTAGTATATCAAGAGCCAGGAATAGAAGGGAGGAAGTAGAGGATAGCTCCTGGGATGTCCCAGAAGATGAAACTAGAATGTGGATGTTGGATTATAGCATCTGGGCATAACAGGGGCTGTTCTTGTCCTATGAAGAGAGAAATCCCTGCTCCTAGGAGGTCAAAGAATTATATATACAGTGTTTGATTTCATGATACTCTTGAAAGAAAAGAGGTGATGTCTTCAGAGTCGAGGGTGCTAGGCATGAGGTAGGCCCTGCCAGTAATGAAAAAAGAATAGACATCTTCCCCAGCTCCTGAATTTCCAAAGAGAACAATGACTTGATTTGGATCCAGTCCTTTAGTAACATAAATACTCTTGTAAGAGGTGAAGGAAAGGGTCCCCAGGCCAACAGAGGGTACTGTGTGTTGGGGGGTAGAGGGAGATCTGTGAGGTCGATGAACTGTGCTCTGAGGGGTGGTCCATCAGGCCAGGCCTGGGCAACCAGTAAGGCAGATGAGAGTTCTCATCCTGAGGAACTCACTGCTCCTGGGTACCCCAGGAGATGTAGTCTGGCCTAGTGGCTGCATGGTACTCATCGATCAGCTGCTGTACAATCTCTCTGGATGTGTCCATCTCATCAAAAGTGTCCTTGAAGATGTCTTCCTTGCCGAACTGCTCCATGAAGGCCTCCCATTTCCGCAGCTTGTCAAACTGGCGACAGGTGCGCTCAAAGAGCTTGGGGCATGCAGAAAGCAGGAGTCACAAAGAAACCCAGCAGCACTACGGCCCCAGGTCTGAGCTATCCCCACAGCAAGGTACCAGAAGCAGAGGCAATGGGGATGCAGAGGACAAGACACAGTCAGGAAACTGACTTAGAGAAAAGGTGCAAACTGAGACTCACCGAAGAGATACTGGTGTGGTTGGCCATCATGAGCCCACTGACCCGGTGGGCTGAGGGCAAGTAGGGAGACTTCCTTGACAGTGCCACCTGGATGCTGGCTGGGCCCCAGGGGATGAAGTTGGCCAATTTCCGCTCCCGGATCCTCTGCAGGCTCTTGTGGACCTAGGGTGGGCACAGAGCGCTGGTGGCTGCCCCTGCTCTATGCTGTGGTCCAGGGCACAGGATAGAGGGGCCTCATCTACCTGGGTGGGGTCCACCTCTCCCTGGATGATGTTGAGGATGGCGATGTAGCAGTGGTTGGTCTGGCGGTCCCGGCCTGTGGACACCATTACATTCTTGGGCTGTAGCAGCCTCCTCATGACATCCAGGACTGTGGTCTTCCTCACACTGGCTACCTGATGGGAGAAGGGGCCACAGGCCAGAACTCAGGGGGTAATCCACAGAGATGCATTGGGAGAGGAAAGTAGATAGTTCTTGTCACCATCAGACTTGTAGGCTGTTCTCTCCAGGGATATCACTAGCTCAGGCCCCTGAGTTTCTGCTGTAGGAAGGACTAGGGTATTAGCCCTTCTCAGCTCAGTAAACTTGAGCCCTTGTGCAGGAGCAGAAGCTGACCCTCATCAAGCTCAGCCCCAGCAGGAGCCAAGGACAGAGACAAAGCAGCAAGCGAGGCACACTATATATGGGTCTGAGCATGAGGACCTTTGGGGGGCTACAAAGGCCTCTTAAGGCAGTGGGGAGAAAGGCAGGGTCAGGACTTGCTGGGTGTGGCAATCAAGTTCAGGGTTGGATTTTACAGCACCACCGGTGAGACAGAATGGGCGGTGACCCTTTTTGAGAAGAAATCGGATATAGTTTAGCTTCTGCTAAACTCCAACATCAGGAAGTACTTTGCCACTTTAAAAAGAAGGTACCATCTCTGGGGCATCATGAGAAACTTTGGACCATGTAAGTCAGTAAACAAATACATGAATGCCCTCAGTGCCACACAGTGCCTAGCTCTGGAGAGACCACAGACAGAAAAATAGGCAGGATCTTTACCCTCCCCCCCTCCCGTTAGGCCTACAGTCTAGTGGAGAATGACAGGTATTAACAACGTAGGCTGAGGGTGTAGCTCAATGGTAGAGCACAGGGTTAGCATATATAAAATCCAAACCTCCAAAAATAAAACCATCAAGGCCTATCATCCCAGCTGAGCCAGGAAGATCATAAGTTCAAGGCTAGCCTGGGCAATTGAGTAAGCCTCTATTGCCAAAGAAATTAAATAAATTGAAACAACAACACAGTTTAGATAACGGCCTGAAAAATATGCACAAAGGAATCTGATATTGACTTGGGTAGTCAGGAAAGTTATGCTAAGGAAGTGACCTTAGAGCCGAAGGTTCAAGTGTAATAGGCCCTGAGCAGGTCAAGTGAGGGTACATGGTAAGAGAAGGGTAGATCACTTTGTTGAGAGTTTTGCTGCCATAGAGGACTGGAAGCAAGTTAGAAGTTGGGACCTTATTTCATAATTTGGCTTTGTTGTTGTGGGCCAGGGCTTGGGAAGAACACGGTAGAAGTGACTAGCTTTGGGAGCAGGGCAAAGCCCCTGACTCCGTTTTCCCCTGCTCATAATGCAATCTGCACTTTGGATCAGTAAAGAGTGAGTTGTAGCCAGGCACTGGTGGCTCACACCTGTAATCCTAGCTACTCAGGTGGCTGAGCTATAAGGGTTGAGGTTCAAAGCTAGCCCAAGCAGGAAAATCCATGAGACTCATCTCCATAAACCACCAGAAAACCGGAAGTGTCACTGTGGCTCAAAGTAGTAGAGCACTAGCATTGAGCTGAAGAGCTAGGTGCCCAGGCCCAGAGTTCAAGCCCTGTGACCCACAAAAAAGAAAGAGAGAAAGAAAGAAAGAAAGAAAAAAAGAACGAGAAAGAAAGAAAGAAAAGGAAGGAAGGAAGGAAGAGAGAGAGAGAGAAAAGAGTGAGTTTTAGGGCTGAACCACCAGGTTGCTCATCTCATGATAGTTGGGAAACACTGGATCAGCTACTTGGGGCACTTGAGGGGGAAGAAAAAGAGAGTGTGGAAAGTGAATTAGAAGAACCTTCATGACTACCAATAGCCATCTTTTCTAGGGACAATAGGGACCGTTCCTTTCTAAGTCCTTTTCTAATAAGAGAAGATCTGGATTTTCAGAGCCAAAAATGATAATTCACAAGCATCAAACTCTATATGTATATATATATTTCCCTCTCTCTGTAACCTTAGCCCCCTCCACCCTGTTATTTCTTCTAAGGTCTGTCCCTATGAGTCCTTCTAGAAAGCCTTCCAACTTGAGAGGAAAAAGTAATAACAGGAAGTAGAGGTGTGGTTCACCTGGTAAATTACCAGCTTTGAGTGGAAAGTCAATCGAGAGTGCTAGGTCTTGAGTTCAAACCCTGGTACTGGTACACACAAAAAATGACAACATAAAAGGAATATTATAGCTGGGAGTGGTGGCTCACACCTGTAATCCTAGCTACTCAGGAGGGTGAGATCTGAGGATCACAGTTCAAAGCCAGCCGGGGCAGGAAAGGCCGTGAGACTCTTATCTCCAGTAAACCACTCAAAAAACATGCCATGGTGATGTGGTTCAAGTGGTAGAACACTAGCCTTGAACTGAAGAGCTCAGGGACAGCACCCAGGCCCGGAGTTCAAGCCCATGACCACCAACAACAACAACAATAACAAAAAAAGAAGGAACATTATTACCCAGGGAACCTGGACTAATGCTTCCTCTTCAAACACTGGCTTACCCATTATTCAGTAATTCCAAGAGATAGGAGTCCAGACCATAACCTGTGCTTCTGGCAATGAAGTAACACAATATGAAGTCCTGAGTAGAGAGAGATGGAGACTCAGTGACTAGAGATACTTGAGAGAGAATTCTATCTCAAGGCTTCCTCTGTGTCCATCCTGGCCCTAGCCTCCTTGGGAAGATTCAGAACTCTTAGCAGAAGCTGAATGAGTCATGCCTAAAGTGCTGATGCTGCCTAGATTATGATTTCCTTGAGATCAAGGGTTATATCTTTATTTACCTTGGTATCCTACATCTGATGCCCCAAACAAGGTTTACTGTGTGTGTGTGTGTGTGTGTGTGCGCGCGCGCGTGTGTGTGTGTGCGCGCGCGCGGGGGAGTGCGCACACCCATGTATGTTAGTACTGGGGCTTGAATTCAGAGCCTGGACACTGTCCCTTAGCTTTTTCACTCAAGGCTGGTGCTCTACCATTTGAGCCACAGCTCCACTTCCCCAAAAAAGGTTTTGGACCGAATTGTTCCCATTCCTTCACCAGTGTAGGCCATCACTGGATCTTTCTCCCGCACTCTTCAATGGGGGAGAACTTCAGCTGTAGACTGTTACTTCCATCTATTTCTTGATCTAAGATGTCAAAGTTGTCTTCATGAAATTTCTCACCTTGTATACAGGTGAAGGTCAGAATAAGTTTCTTTTCACCCACCAAGAACTCTTTCTCTGGGAGATATATGCCACTCTGAAGCAGCCTAATGTCTTCAACCCAAAAATGCTACTTTATGGCTCATACCCATAATCCTAGCTGCTCAGCAGGCTGAGATTTGAGGACTGCAATTCAAAACCAACCCAAATAGACAATCTCAGAGACCTTTAATTAATCAGCAAAAAGACAGCAATAGATGTACACCTCAAGAGCACACACACACACACACACACACACACACACACATATGTGCCCACACATGCATGCATGCACAAAGCTATTTTGTGAATCACTTATACAAAATTTGCTATAATAGCCAGGTGCCGGCGGCTCACGCCTGTAATCTTAGGCACTTAGGACGCTGAGATCTGAGGATCACAGCTCAAAGCCAGCCTGGGCAAGAAAGACTGAGACTTTTATCTCACTAAACCACCAGAAAACCAGAAGTGGTGTGGTGGCCCAAGTGGTAAGAGTGCTAGCTTTGAGCTGAAGAGCTAAGGGACTAAGGGACAGTGCCCAGGCCCAGAGTTCAAGCCCCATGACCAAAAAAAAAAAGCTATAAACCTCTCTTTGGCTGTCCCTCTTGTCCTCTTGTCTTGAGTATTCACTTGTCTCTTATCTACATCATCAGTCTGGTCTGGTCAATTCCCAGATTGCTTTTTTTTTTTCTTGCCAGTCATGGGGCTTGAACTCAGGGCCTGGGCTCTGTCCCTGAGCTTTTTAGAACAAGGCTAGCACTCTACTGCTGTGAGCCATAGCACCACTTCTGCTTTTCTGTTGGGTAACTGGAGATGAGTCTCATGGACTTTCCTGCTTGGGTTGGCTTTGAACTTCTATCCTCAGATCTCAGCCTCCTGAGTAGCTAGGATTACAGGCATGAGCTACCAGCACCCAGCCCCAGATTGTTTTTGAGCCTGCTTTGTAGCAGGGTACAACTGTAAAGGAACTGTAGGGTATGCACTGGCCCACCCACTTGTTGCCAGCTCTCCGTGCTTGGCAGGTGGATGTTCTCTGGGTTGTAAAGCTTGACATAAGAGAAATTGAGGATGGAGCGGATCACTGGAGGCTCCAGGCCTAGCAGCACAGCAGAGGGTACATAATATTCACATCTGCCTGAAAAGGGAAAGGTAGGGTGGGCCAATGCTTATATTTCTTGTTCCTTCTCCTCCTCCTCCTCCTTTTGCAGTATTGAGAGTGAAACCCTCGTCAAGCCAGGCATCCTGGTAACCTCTGTTCTGCAGATTGCCTTGTACCAGGCCAGCCCTGGCCTAGACATTGGGCTGCATCAGGTAGAAAAAGACATCCTATGGTCAGTGCCCTCGGAGCTGAGGCTGATACTGTGCTCTGAGCCCATGAACTCAACTGGAAAGGAAGGGGGATGCCCAGGTCTGCTAGAGTAGTAAACAGCCTGAATCTCAAGAAGGTGAACCAAGACACCTGTACCTGGGAGCTGTCATAGTCCAGGACTCTTGGTTTGAGTCATCAGGCTGAGTAGACAGGGCAGGGGTTCATGTAAGGGGAAAAAGGGACTCAGCAAGTGCCAAGACACTTGAGTGCGGCTGGAAAAGTAGAACGAGAGATTGGCATGCTCATTCTGGTTCCCACATTGGCCCAGCTGCAAAATGGTGATTCCGCAGCACGGCATCTCTATTCAGTTACGGCCCTGGTCGGTCGAAGTCACAGTTGAGTCGACTGCCTGGCTGCCCCACACACGGGAAGCAGAGCGGGCACGCTCTTGGTCTTTGAACGTGGGTGGTCAGTCTGTGTGTGTGCACTGTGTGGGCCTCTCTGTGTCCACCCACAGGCAGGTCGCCCAGCTTCACCACCACTTTCTTAGCAGCCACAGCTGAAATTCAGCTCAAGGTGAAGCCACGCCTCCTCCCCCTCCATTTCCCCCCCCCCCACACACACACACATACTGCTGGTTTGTAACTAAGGTGTGGGAGTGGGAACAAGAGGAAAGAATCGGCTTCCGGAGTGCTGCTGGGACAGGTGAATGGTGTCACCTACTTATATAGGTAGGTGTGCAACTCTGCCAGCTATTCTAAACGAAGGGACTAGATTCAAGCCAACTGCTTTTTTTTTTTTTAAGTTTCTACTTGTAAACAAATTGTGTTATAATATACACAACATAGGGGCTGGGAAGGTGG